AATTCTGTTACGGATTGAACTTCATCCATTTATCCATTGACAAGATGATCGTCAGAATATTCGATTAAACATGACATGAGCTTCTGATCCTGAGTCCATTACACGCGTAAATCCTGTAATATTTTATAATATTCTTACAAATCTTACGAAAATTGTATAATTCTATCTCGTTTAAAGGACCAGTTAACTGAAAAATTTGTAGTCTCCAATTTGGCTAAGATTTAAATCAGCTGTGACAAACTGGTAAAAAATTGTATCGCCGAAAGAACCAACTCTCTAGCTTACGTGTAACGCGTGTTATTGCAATAATAAGCTGTGGCCGCGTGACGTCATATAGTCCCTCAGTGCGCGCTGGCATAGCGTAATACAATGCACAAATGTTTATCATCGTCAATAAAACACGTGTAACTCACTCAAATTTTAGAGTTATGACTATTTCCCTAGTTCTCCAAAATCCTTATAGTTTTGGCTATCACCCTAACTATATGAATAGCTGATTGGATGTACAGTGCTCACGTCAGGATTTTAAACAGTGACATAACTTCTTGAACAGTGGCTGGTGAATGTACGGTTAGAAAGTTTCTGCTATTACAAGTTATGTCATATGTGATAATTTTTGATTGTTTTCATTGCTTCATTAAAACGAAGGGAGACTGTACCGATTATTTTTCCCCAGTCCATGAAACTAATACACAAAATAATGTGCTATATATTAAATATAGCTGATCAGAGTGTAACTCTGTAATATAATATTACAGTTGTTCGGAAGAATGCGAGCAGTCGAATGGTTCGCTGTCCTAAAAGACATAGTTCCGAGAGCAATTATATTTTTAGCATAGCGAAATTTCTTACTTTAATCCACACGTGCCAGACAGTACAGGAGACAAGAAGTCTGGCTATTTTACGGCCGTTCTCATGGGACCATTAGTAGAAGTAGCTCCTATCAGAACGGTGCCGTGGGAACTGAAAAATACCCGGTCTACTAAATACTGATTGGAGTGTACAGTGTGCGGAGTGTTTTGAATTTGACTTACCTAGTTATCGTCCTACTTGTATGATCATCGGTACTTACCATAAATAAACTACAGGTAAATTTAAATACCAAGTGCAAACGTGTTCAGTCAATCGACCCACTGAACAACTATAGAATTTCCAAGACCCTATTATTCTTTGGCCATATGTATTACGGCACGATCGATTCTTAGATGGCTAAACGACAAACGTTAATCTATACAATTCTTAAACTATGAGATAGCACTTTAATCTAAAAATACACTTTTTATATTACTATTTACTCCTGATTTTTACATTTCAATTTTCACGTAAAACATTGTAGCCATAGGTTGATCATGGACACTGACAGCTTAATTTTAGATAATAATGATTTATGAGTTTCTCTAAAGTTAACTCTAAACTTGTGTAGTCCAGTCATTTATGGACATTTATGGAATTGAACCTGCAAATTTTCGTATACTCACGAAATTTTGCAAAGACCTTCCCAAAAGTATGAATAAACGATTTTCGGTTGGAGACATATTGACCACGCCGATATTAACCCAATAACGTAACCGACCTTTTGCTTCTGAAGGTCGTAGAGACTTCTAAATAGGCTGAAACGAAGCGGCATATGCATGTTTATATAGGAGTTACTGAGCAACACATGGCCTAAAATCCTTACTTTTCGAGAAATTTGCCAAAAACCATTTTGGGCGTGGTGCTGAGCCCATTTTCGATAGGATCGTGATAGAGTCTTTAGACAGGGTGCAAAAGAACCGCAATTAGCATATTTATATATGACTTACGAAGAAACAGATGCCTTAAAGTGCTTACTTTTTCAGTTATTGGCGAAAAACTGATTTCCGGTTCCAGAAATCATGCAAAAATATGGGTATCTTGTAAATTGGGCTATGAAGGCCCTACAGATTTTTGAATGGGTGCAAATTGTGCAGAATGGCCATGTTTATATACAACTTATGAAGCAACATGTACCCTAAAACACTTACTTTTCGAGTTATTTGGGGGAGAACCATTGCATTATGTCCATTTTTACCTGTAAAATACAGTCTCACGAGCTCTTCTGTGCGCGCAAGGGACTTTATGACGTCATCGCCAAAATAATACAAACGGTAATTACACGCGTTAGAGAGCAGTTAGAGATTTAGGAATTTCGACTCGTTGCTCAGTTTGCTATTTGTCACAATCTGTCAAAATATGAGGATAACTTTTTTTTGAGTTAACTGGTCCTTTAACTCTTCCTATTCCACTCTCGGAGAACACGTTGAGGAGCCTGATAAAACATGTAGCCATGACGTTAAGAAGAGTAATTAGGCATATATTATCATGCTTGACAAATTCTCCGAGACAAATTCAGATGTTTAGTAGTTGCGGTCCTCCTGTAGTAGAGCACTAGTAGAGTAGTAGGGGACCTCCCCTCTGTTGAGCTACTTCACCGGGGGGCTGCATAAGTACGTGCATTTTAGTTTACTTGCAAGCTTATTTTAGCATTCTGCTACGTTACTGTGTCTATTATAGTATGATCCAGTGTGTTGTGTTTTCTTTGAAGGGGAAGGAGGGTTTTTATTTTGAGTGAGAGGGAGGGAGGGAGGGAGGGAGGGAGGGAGGGAGGGAGGGAGGGAGGGCGGGAGGGAGGGAGGGAGGAATGGAGGAAGGGTGGGAGGGAGGGAGGGAGGGAGGGAGGGAGGGAGGGAGGGAGGGAGGGAGGGAGGGAGGGAGGGAGGGAGGGAGGGAGGGAGGGAGGGAGGGAGGGAGGGAGGGAGGGAGGGAGGGAGGGAGGGAGGGAGGGAGGGAGGGAGGGAGGGAGGGAGGGAGGGAGGGAGGGAGGGAGGGAGGGAGGGAGGGAGGGAGGGAGGGAGGGAGGGAGGGAGGGAGGGAGGGAGGGAGGGAGGGAGGGAGGGAGGGAGGGAGGGAGGGAGGGAGGGAGGGAGGGAGGGAGGTTAAGGGTATAAGACTTGTGTAAAAGTCTCCCACACCTGTGCTATTTCCAGAACATTCAGTAACCACCACCACCAGGGTTTAAGATTACATCACGCTCAGTATGCAGTGACCTCATACAAAACGGTTATTACAATGACAGGAAGATGACATGATTATGGCACATAAACGTGACCCTTACCAACGTACCCTTACCAAGGTGACGTTCAGGCTGCTGTAAAGCGATTGGATGACTTTAGTTCCTAGTGTTCCTAGTGTGAGCTAACTCAATTATTATCACGATCCCTTCCGTCATTTGAACCTTCCCTTCAGCCAGGTTGTTGGGGGTCTGGACACTCATTTCACCATATTTCGTGATTTGTTCTCTGAGACAGGGGTCCGTTTGAACTTTGTTTATTTTGTTACCGAACTTGCTGTCAAATTGAATAATTTGTACGGCTTGGCTCAGGGTCGGAACTGCTCGTTCATCTGTACATGACACCTCTCATAATATCCAAATGTTGTTATAAATCAACTGATAAGTTATAATATTCACACCGGACAATCTTGTATTACATAATCTACATAATATACTTGTGAGACAGCCGCATAAATATTTTCTAGACGTGTAATAGCCCCTAATTCAGAGAAGGTCATATATCCGACTCGCAACCTTTCGTCCTCCTCCTCCTCTCTGCGTGATATTTAGCAACAACTCGGTGATCGCTCATCGCAGAATTCCATGTTGTCGAAATTAATAATACAAGTTGTTCACTGGTTCAAACACTTGTTCACTGGTTCAAACACTTCTAAGACTTAAAGTATGTTTCTATTGTTTTTATTATGAATGTTACAACAGAGGTTTAAACCGTGTAAATGTCACTTAGCAGCAGTCTTTACATTAAACATAACTCATTCAAGGTTAAACGTTGTTTTTTGAGTATTGAGTTAACTCAAGATATGGTAAAATTGGGTGTGTCACGTCACTCATTTTTCTCCGTTTGTGTTTCACCCTATTAACGTGTGATATTTACTCTGTTTATAGCAGCTAAACTGGCAGCTCATATTTTGAAATTGTTCTTGTAGAACAACGAGTTATCGGTTCTGACAGTTTTACTCGCTTGTTTTTTAACCGAACAATTAAGATTACTTGTTTGAGATCTTTACCCATCCAACGATTACCTCACACTTCACATTTTCCCAGGCATTTATGATTTTTCCAGGTATTTATAATAATTCATTTCATCTCCTAAATATGAACAATTCCGCGGAATTCATTTTTGCAGTTACCTAACCTAAGGATATATTTCCCAATTTCTCAAATTAACTTATTGCAAAATCATAGAAATATAAATCTAATTTATTTAACTTATATTTATATAACCCATATTCAGATATATGATTCACATTCATTTCATCTCCTCTTATCTGTATTTTCTTATAACGAACGAGCAGATGGCAAAATATTCCTTTATTTTTATTTTCAATTTTTAGTTCGTTCTAAATCTTAAAATATAAAATTGTATTTATTATGTCAGCCGCCCCGAGATATTTGCAATTAAATATTGATCGTAATATATCATATCTGGCTTTTCTGGATATAACTAGGAAAAAACCTTTGTCATTTCATTATCATTATCTAGGTTATCCTTTCTCCAAATTCGAACAATGAGTTTAGTGAATGAAACTTATTAACCCCTTCTGGACCATTCTGGACCCTTTTGGACCATTCTGGACAGAATTTAATCGCCTAATGAGCAAATTCTAGACGGTCGACGGGTCGACTTCTAGGTTGTTTAGTTGTAGTCACAGGAGCCTTTGTTGATCTAGGTTTTAATTGTTCTGCTTAATTTTATTGATAATAGATGTTCTAATTTATTAAATTTTAGTTTCCTAGCTGAACTTTACAGAACTATCCTTGTTTTACATATTTTTCTTGTGTATCCAATTCCATCCTCGCTACTGAATTTGCATTTGTGACAATTGCAGCTGATAATTACAGTGAATTGATAATATTTATAGTATACAGCCGAGGTGACAAAATTTATTAAACTTTGCTCTATAAGTGCTGCTGAGGTGACAGGATCCTAAATACTTAATGTCGGGGGAGGACAACCCCAACCCTCGAACCAAGAAACATGGATTTACGAGGGACGACACGGGTGTTCCCTCCGCAAACCGGCGGGATGCAAGCAGCTGGCAAGGCCGGCCCGGCCGGGTACGTTAAATTAGGCGTGGTTCTTAAGTAAAGCTTGATTTATCTGAGCGTTAATACGCTGTTTATAAAAATAAAATTAGATATTTATCCAAAATAAAACCAGATATTTATCAGGACGTAAATTTATATGGCCCGGCAAGATTCGTGTCTTGCCGGGGGTACGTCACATTGGAATATTAGGCGTATCTATTATTTTACCCGGTGTTAAACTAGCTGTGTATCTGAGAGGGAAGCTAGATTTATCTGAGAGGGAAACTAGATTCATCTGGTAAAATATTTTGTTGTAGTTGATTCGGTAGAACCGGGTTAGTTATATTTAGCGTTAAGCTATTTTATCAGAGTAAAGTAGCGGTAACACTAGATATTTATCTGGAACAATAATATATTTAACAAAGTAACGCTAGATATTTATCTCGAACAATACTATATTAATTAACAAAGTAAAACTAGATGTATCTGGAACAATAATATATTTAACAAAGTAACGCTAGATATTCATCTCGGACAATACAATTTTTAACAAAGTAACACTAGATATTTATCTGGAACAACACGTCTTTTAGTTTTTGTATCAGAGTATAAATACTATTTTTATATCGCGTAAAACTGCAAATGTGATCGTTAAGCTAGATATATCTGGTTAGCGAAATACATTTATTTTGTAAAACTATTTTGAGTTGATAATGCTATATCTGGCTGGGCGTCTGCTATTATACCCATACATTCTTAACAGGTTAAAGCTACTTATATATATATATATATATATGTATAGTAGGGACCAGCATGTTGAATACTAAACTGTAATGGCTTGTAAGTGATCATCATAAATATATCATCCTGTAAACTTATAAGGGAACATTAAAATCAGTACAATCGCTATTGTACAAAACGTGGTTCCAGCTACTTGTTGAACTTGTACAAGAAATGGCCTGAGTTTGAATACTTGTTCACGCAAATCACTTCAGATTGGTACAAATTAAACTTTGTAAGTGCTTTGCACTACGATAACCTCTCTGAAAATCACTTGAATTCACAAATTTTTGTCACAAATTGAAGTTCTGGCAGCATGATACGCCTCAGAATCACTGACTTAGTACTTTGAGTCCCACTTGTGCCAGATTTACTTCGGCACTTCTTATCAACTACATTCCTAGAATACCATCAGACAATGTGACCAAATATATTGCCCTGTAAGGGAGAAAGTGATGAAAGCACAATTTGATTGATATACCGACAAGCAGCAAGGTCTCTTGATCGAAGATGATCCTAATTAGTATTTTCAGCGGTATCAAATTCTTTTAAAGCCCCATCAAGTCTCCAAAAGAGGGAGAGGTTAACTGAGGGAACCCTGTCCACTTTATCAGAGCTATTAACTGTTTAATTGAGTAAATTAAACTGGACTACAACACACCCCAACTTAGCTGCAGCCCATCTCCAAACAATTCATAACACTGTTGTAGGCTCTCTTAATGGAGTGTCTCCAGGCTAACAGTGCAAGTCTCCGGGCAGCGACAAGCTCCAACTAGCAAGAGTGTTGTGCTGCAGTACTTAGCACTACAACACGCTGTTTTGCTGTGTGGTGTGGTGGTGATGATGGAGTATGATTGGAGAGATTGACTGACTGATTGATATGAGGGGGAGGAAGTAGGGGTGAATCTCACAGAGCCGGATTTAGCACACACTACACCTAACGTGTACACAAATATTTCAGAATTTTCTAGTGTGAGCTTTACTCCGGAGGGGTTGACAGGTACAGTCACATTCAATTGCAAAGCATTGACATCTCATAACCCGCTAGTCGGTCTCATTGGCCGCTCCTCGCCAGGACTGTGCTCCAATTGGTCGGCTTAAAGTCACGTGTTCACCCTCCGTCAGCTGACTAGGCAGCAAAGTTTCTGCGAGCTGTTATCACCTTCCACTATTTTCTTTATTTTTGTTCTGTTTTGCAGCCTCTCCTGCGCACACTGGAATGGCTAATAGATGGAACAGAAAACCCAAACCCTCTTCCTCGGGCTCAAGGGGATCAGCCCCAATGGTGAGTTAAACCCGGCCCCTCAAACTAACCTACTCTGGAGTGTTTTTCTGTCACTTTTACCGGCCGATGTGCCGACTTTTACCGGCTTTGTCTCTATAACCGCAGCCGGGTCCACCCTGATACTAATTATAGTTACCAGGTGCTCAGTCCCTGATTTAGAGTGTCAGAGTTTGTAAGATTTACGCATGCAACAGCCAATATCAAACAAATAATTCATAATAATAAGCATAATTATCAGACGTCTAATTGCGGATACTTTAGACAAAGGAATTTATCATCTTTCATGAAGTTTAGGGGATGATATTTTTAAAACCAGTACGGTGAGAGTCATGTTTTCTCTTGGTTAAGAGCTTGGAATGTGACCATGCTGGATACACTGCCAGGTTACACACTACACAGTTGTGTACGGGAGACTGGTCCGGGATCTTAATCTTCGGCGTACGACAGTGTAATAAATGTAAATATTACAGTCATATTAGTTACAGTCAAACAATAGGGTTAAAGTACAGGGAAATGTGGCTGTACAAAGCACCTGTGTAATTGCTGCTTCCTCTTGATCCTTGCTGTGGAGCTTGTTAGACTATGTTGTGAGTTTGACTGGGGTTAAGTTGTAATTGCGTCAAGGTTTCTCTGAGCTCTGTTGTGACTGGACATCTAGAACTTTCTGATTGTCTTATCAGTTGATATAGGGGAGTTTCTCACAATCTTATCAGTAGATAAGGTTGTGGTTTGATAGCGGGATTCTGGTTGATCTTAAAGTCTGGTCAGAGTGTTGCCTTGATGTCCAAGTGAGTCCATGTAGGAGTCGTCTGAAATGTGGTGTCTCACAAAAATAAACCTTTTTGCCATGCTGGAGGTTAATTTACAAAAAACGCTTTTCTTAGAATATCACTTAATAGTTTTCGTTATCAGCTGGAAATAGCAGCAAATTAGGAAACCTTAAAAAACCCCAAAAAGAAACAATCATCACTAGTGGTTTTTTAACGATATTTAGGTTACAAAAATGCTTGTTACGGCTTCTCAAACCTTCGAGAGCCCCAAAATTTATTTAGAAACATTTATCACTCGGGGTTTAATAATTTCAGCAGTCTTAAGGATTTTTAGGCCGTGAAAATTATTTTTTACGGCTTCTCCATCCTCCTATATCTGTATAAAAATCACATCCAAAAAAGTAATTTGCCGGAATGAAATAAACATTGGTTAATGAAATAAATCCATTCCATTGAAAGAATTTACATTGACTAGTAAGCAGCAATATTTACCCTTATTTGGTCCTCTATGAAGAATATAAAAATCAGTCAGAAAGACTCCGAAAGGAAGGTTTGTAAAAGGAGTGGTCTGATCCAGTAAGGCTTACTAACGTACGGCTCATCTTACACTCCAATAACGTAATACTGCATACATAATCGTATTGCAGGGCTGAAGTAGCAAGGAAGTGCAGTACGGCGTCAAAATTAGATAAATTCAAATCCCTCCTTGAATATTACTAGAATAGAACATTTTAATGAAATCATAACATTATCTCGGTACTTTCATTATTCTTTAAGGCCTGCCGAATGAAACATTAGTTTTGTGCTTTCTCGCTCGATTTCAATCCCTCCTTCCATACTTTTATTGAAGTCTCAATATTAAACTTTTCTAAAAATAGTTTTAAAAAGTTTTAAAGTTCTTAATTCGTCGGACCGCCGACTTACTAATTAAGCTAATATCATAAAAGTATAGACTGGCCACTGTTAGTGCTGAGAAGTTGTTACTGACAGGACCACTGAACCCAACACGTTTTATCCAGTGTCCACGGTTAGGTTCATTAAATATGCAACATATTTTTAAACAATAGCATATTTTGTACTAGGGAGTAACGTATTGTCATTACTTAATTTCTTTATATTAATTTTAGTAAATTTCTATGGAATATTTGTGTTGTAAAGGCATGGAATGCTAGTTATAGCAGACTAAAATCTAAGTCATCTCTAATTTGTATTCGATATATGTTGTAAAATAAAAACTTGTGGTAAAAGTGAGTTGTAAAATAAAAACTTGTGGTAAAAGTAAGTTGTAAAAAAGTTGAGTGTGTTTAAGTCATGGATTCTAACAGGTTATTACTTGGGTGTTAATTTGGTCTGATCATTAAATTACACTAATTAGTTATGCTAAGTTATATATATCCTGCAGGAACGCTATTTACTCATAATTGAATTCTAATCATGTTCCAAAGTTCAGCTCATCTAATCGTCCTAATAATGTGCTAATTTAATTGCCTAAAGCAACTTACTCTACAGACCCTTGAGAGTCAGAGACAAGCCCTTACATTACCAAATTACCCTTTAATTAGTTTCATATCAAGTTCCAAATTGCCCTTAATTAAGTGAATATCAAGTTCCAGTTTAGCGTCTAATTAAGTTTCAAGGTTTTACCATAGCACTACCGGTCCACTTCACATCCGCGCATCTAAACTAAGCTTCGCCGTATACAGAGAACTGTCAAGCCGGGTAATAAGATCACGTGACGTCACGTGACAGATCACGTGACGTCATCACACCAGTGAGCTGGCTGGCCTGTGTAACACGTGATCAGATCGGACCAATTAGCAGCTTGCCTGTTGCTTGCCGCACTCAGAGAAAATGAACCCATCCGGTCGTAAAATATATGGGTAGGAAAATACATTTTCCTAAAATTTAATATATACTATATTCCGTCCGGCCGTTGCTTTTACGTTTCACAAATCAGGTGAGTCCAGTAACTAGCACCCTAACATTTCACCCTCAAATTCCAAACATTTTGATCGTTCCAAGCCTTCCCGGATTCTCTGAGATCACCACAAAAATGTATCACTTTTTAGCAGTACGGGGGGCGTGCATAAATACCTTGCATCTGTTGGACGAGTCTGGTTGGGCCGGCAGTTAAATTTTGAGGCTTTCATCGTGCAGTGCTGGAGATTTCAACACGTTCCAGGGCTCTGTGCGGCACTTTGCGGCACTTTGCGGCACGTTGCGGCTCTTGTGCACCTGTTTCCTGGATTGTGACCAGATTCCAGCACTGTGGAAGTCTCGTGGGACCTGTTGTAGTGGTGATGTGGAAATACTTTGTGATGTGAAGTTAGGTCGCGATTGGGAGAAATGGGTGTTGAACTGTTTTGGAAAATTTTGCATATATTCTACAAGAATTACACAAGTAGCGAAAATTTAAAACTTACTATATATAGTGCTTCAGCAATACTTGCATTTATCGTGATACAGCGTAAATCACATGTAGTCCGCAAGTCTCGTAACAGTGTCATCCACCGTGGGATAGTGAGAACAGGTCTGTAGCTAGCTGTTAATATAGCAACCCGCTACATTAGATACAATTCACCGCTCGCATATCTACGATTATTTCATTATCCTGGTCCTGTCACAGTCCCTTGAGCATAAATTTCGACTGAATGGTTTTCCTGGTTAACTGCTAACTGAATTAACAAATTCAAGACTTTTCTCTCCCGAACATATTCCGTAACTTTTGAATTTACCCTACTGTCCGGCCCGATTATTGGTTATCGCGGGGTAGAACACGCACACAACGGAAGAAGCTGCGCAACTCCACACCACCCAGTATTGCCGGCCTGCTGCATAAGCTTGTTAAGTTAAACACATATCCTGCGCTTCCTCTGCAGTTGTTAGCTATATATCGTGTGTAAAGTTTTGCCTCGTTACCACCGTCTCTAAATTAAGGTACATTTAAACTTGGGTAAGGTGATGAGTGGCCCCCAGATTGAAACTCTGCTCCCTTGCTATCCGGTGGGGATGCAAGGGAGGGGGCTGTTAAAACCACCCGTCTGTCCTCTGATGACACGGCAGTCACGTGACCTCACCGGACAGGGTGTCAGCTCTAACCCGGGGAAATATTTTTACCATAATATTGTGCGACCTGTCAGTTTGTTAGGCGAACCGTACAAAGCCAACAAAGTTAACACTTGTTTTACCAGGTTTACGTATGTGACACGACAGTCGTCATTTCTGAAAATATATGAGATTTTAAGGTGTTGGGATATAACAATAAAGTGAGCGAAATGTGGTTTCGGTGATGATAAATGTAACTAATTTCAGATGAGTCACGACGACGCTCACGCGCAGGAAGAGGATTTTATCGCTCAGCGAATATCTGAGGACCAGGGATGGGTTCGTGTTCAGACACGTACCTTCACCCGATGGGTCAACGAGAACCTTAAGACTACCGAGTACCAGGTTAGCCTAATTTTAACCTCATTTAACCTCATTTTAACCTTGTGTTAACCTTGGGTTAACCTTGTGTTGACCTCATGTTGATATTATTTATTATGATATTTACCTAATGTTCAATTATTGTGGACTTGTTTGACGACACATTCAGATCTGAAACAAATTTCTAAGCACGATGTCCACTTATCATGGGTCCGGAATACTGAACATAGTTTAAAATTCACAACACTGTAGGTCATTTTGTCCGACCTCAAAATGTGATATCCCCTTTTTTTATAAATCAAAAATAATTTCTACTTTTTTCAGATTGAGAATTTAGACGACGACTTTGGAGATGGTTTAAAGTTAGTCTCTTTACTTCAACAACTCGCTGGCAAGGGAATCGGGGCTCGGTTCACAAAGAAACCTCGAATTCGTGCTCAAAAACTTGAAAATGTCAAGATCTGCTTCGATTTTATGAATCGTGAAGGTACGTTACCATGGTTACATCGACCAATACTCAATAATAGACAAATAATGTTTCAATCGACTGAGAGGACATTTCCAATTAACTATCCGTGTATATATGTAATTAAGCTTCTTCCTGATTGCTCTACATATCACTCTGACAAGTATTTGTGGTATATGGCAGTTCTGAGATACCCAGATACGTTATAAGCATTAATATGTCGATTAGAACACATTATTTCTCACTAAAAAATGCGATCAAATCCCGCTAAACAAATATGATCAAATTTGGATAATGACACATAATTTTATGACAGATCATGTCATACAGTTAGTCTGTACAATATTTTACTCCAATATATATCAATTATCAACCTCTGATATTATATATCCTTCACTATAACCTACATTATATCCTACACAATATCCTATATTCTACTTTATCCTACATTATATCCTACACATTATCCTACACTATATCTTACACTATATCCTACTTTATCCTACGTTATATCCTATACTATATCATACTTCATCCTACACTATATCCTACACAATATCCTACACAATATCCTACACAATATCTTACACAATATCCTACATTATACTACATCATATTATACTACCAGATATTAACCCCTCATATTATATATCCTACTTTATCCTACATTATATCCTACACAATATCCTACACAATATCCTACACAATATCTTACACAATATCCTACATTATCCTACATTATATCATACTACCAGATATTAACCCCTGATATTATATACCCTACACTATACCCTACACAATATCCTACATTATCCTACTTTATCCTACATCATATCATACTACCAGATACTAACCCCTGATATTTACCCAGGTATTGAGATGGTCAACATTGACAATCAGGATGTAGCCGACGGAAACATGAAACTTATTCTCGGTATGGTCTGGCATCTCATTCTTCACTACCAGGTTTGTTGGGGACTCATACTTAATTAATTATATTAATTATACTTAATTAATATCAACTAAAATAATATGTGATTTGGTTGTGATAATTTTTACTCAGTCGGGTATTAGACCGGTGTTTGACTCCACTTGAATATTCTATATTTTAATGATTATCAGATTTTCAATGCGACTTCAATTGGGTGTTGTTTCTGCGAAGTAGAAAATCTCAAATAAAATTTATGAGACTTCCACTGACAGTAACGATATCCATACTTCCACTTTTTGTCTAAAATTATTCAGTTTTCATGTTCTAAATCTCATATTTCCAGATTGCAACCGGTTTTGAAGATGACGGCGGCAAAGGTGGTCCCAAGAATCGTATTATCAAGTGGGTCAACAGCAAAATTAACCCCTGGGGTAAAAGCATTACAAACCTTAACAATGACTGGAACAACGGTAAGAACATTTAAATTGTTTTGGCTAATTTTAACGTCTAACATTTGCCGAATCTTGAACAAAAATCTCTAATTAAAACCACTCTTGAGGACGCACCTTAAATTATACCCGTTCACTCAAATCAAGTACAATTATTGTACTAATACTCGTTTCCCTATACCTCACCATATATTTTACAGGTACGATCTTGGCTTGCTTGGTCAACGCCCTTGCCCCTGGACTTGTACCTGACTTCAACGAGATGGAACCAGAATCTGCTAAAGACAACATTGAAAGAGCTATGGAAATGGCCAAGGAATGGATGGACATACCTCGCGTTATAGAACCAGATGATATGATGGATCCTAATGTAAGTAGTTTTCAGACAGTACTTATTTTCCCTGACTGTGTCCAGTTTGCTGCACGGCCTCCAACTGACAATTTTCAAGGCTGAGGAAGTGTGATCACGTGTATACGACACTCCTTTTTACAACCAGACCAGTCTATTGAGTATTGACAATCGACATTCCTCAATACCACTTCTATCATCACAGTCGTTACCCTATGTTTACAGCAAGTTTCACTTTCACTACTAACACTTAATTTCACTTTCTTTTTCTAAACCGCCTTTTCCACCTCAGGTCGACGAACTGTCCATGATGACATACCTGTCGTACTTCCCCAACGCCAAGGTTAAAGAAGGAGCCCCTTGTGTAAATCCAGGCCGTGTAAGTACTGAGTAATTATTCTAAGCTGAGCAGTTATCCTAATTGCTTTAAACACTTTTAACTCCGTCTCCTGGGCTAATGACTGAGATGTAGGGTTTCCCCGACCGTACATATTTCCAGCTTTGCAAAGGAAACCTTGCAGTCTTTTTGCAACAAGATATTTTAAATTTTTCAAGTAGGAACATGCTACGGCTTCTTAAGTCATAACTATGGGTAAAATTATGGTTTTTTATAACTTTGAATTATGATTATAAGTTTATTACAAAATTATCTAACTTCATATTTTCCACTCCAGTAATGTGGTAATCCGATTAGAAATTTATCAGATTTTATTTGTCAGATCTTGTTAGATTTTTATTTTATCAGATTTTGACCAATCCCCTGCAGGTAATCGCTCGAGGCCCAGGTATCACAGGAGTAGGCCTCAAGCTGGGCAAGCCAGCAGAGTTCGAGATAGATGCTTCAAAGGCTGGAGAAAACGGAAGAGACAAGATCAAGGTGGAGGTTCTCGGACCAGAAGGACCCGTTAAAGTCGACATGACTTCCAACGGGGATCTTACTTACTCTGGAGCCTACTTCCCTGAGGATGATGGTGAATACACCATCAAGGTCACCCTTCTTAACTGCTCCGTCCCTAAATCTCCCTTCAAAGTGGGAATATACGGATCTCAGAAGACCGATCCCAACAAAGTCAAGGTATCTGGACCTGGTATCACCGGTGAAGGTGTTTTGCCTGGTGACCCCGCTCCATTTATCATCGACTACAAAGAAGCTGGTCGTGGTCAGCCTCAGATTGAGGTGTTCGGACCCGACCATCAACCTCTTACCATCGTGGAGGACAACGACAAGAAGGAGGGTATCTGCAAAGTAGAATACCAACCTGGTGTGTTCGGAGAGTACACAGTTACCATCAAATACAGTGGTCTTCCTCTGCCAAACTCTCCATACAAGGTCAACATCAAGCCTACTGTGGATATCAGCAAAGTAAAGACCGAAGGCCCCGGACTGTCTAGGTGTAAGGTTGGAGAACCAACATGGTTCAAGGTACACACTGCTGGTGCTGGCAAGGGAGACCTTAGCGTTAAGATTCTCCAGACCGACGGCACTGAACTGGAACCCACTATCAACAATGACGGCAAAGGTACATACCATATTGACTACACTCCCATGATGGTCGGAAGCTACAAGGTGACAGTCACTTACGGTCGATGCAAGATCCCCAAGTCTCCGTTCACTGTCACTGTGGTTCCTCCTGGTGATGCCGGCGAGGTTATTGTTAACGGTGATGCCCTACATGGAATACGAGTAGGAATGACCGGCAGGCTCTTCGTGGATTCGTCCAAGGCTGGCAAAGGTGACCTCAAAGTTACCGTGATCGGACCCGACAACAAACCCGTAACTTCTGGACTTGAACTGATCAGAACCACTGATGGAGTTTCAGAGTATGGTGTCACCCCTGAAGTACCCGGACCTCATGTAATTTCAGTATACTTCTCTGGTACTGCAGTGCCAGGCTCGCCATTCGATATTACAGTCCAACCCAGTCTGGATATTGAGAGGATCAAGCTTATTGTTGACCGAGAGAACCCACCTAGGATTAACAAACAATACAAGTTCACAGTTGACTGCTCAGATGCTGGACCTGCTCCAGTTCTGTTCGGTTTTATCGGGGACCCGGATAACGACAATCCTGATAAACCTAGGAAGGACATATTGGTAATCGTGTGTGACGATAAGGGCAACCCAATCAAGGACAAGAAAGGCAAAGTTATCACTATTGATGTCAGAGTACTGAAGTCATCTGGTATTTGCCACTTCACCTTTACACCTGAGGTTGAAGGCCCTATCTATCTGAAGGTGCAGTATGATGGAAAGAATGTACCCAAGAGTCCACTTAAGGTCAACGTTAGCTCTTTCATTGATATGAGCAAGGTTCGAATCTATGGGGACGGTATTACCACTGATAAGCCTGTTAGAGCCAACAAGCCTATGACCTTTGTCATTGATGCCACAAATGCTGGAGCCGGTCCTATTAGTTTGGACTTCCTTTCAAAGCTTGGATTCACAATCGGAAAAGACAACGTACCCAAAGATATGAAGATCACTATTCTTGGGCCCAACGGCGAACCTATGACATGTGACGTAAGGAAGCGTACCGACAAGATCTTTGAAATCACAATTCTACCAATGCTTGTTGGCACGATGAACATCGATATCTTGGGAGCCAACGGTGAACATGCACCTAAGAGTCCACTTAAGATTCAAATCAAACCAAGTGTTGATGCTTCTAAGATTGTGATCGGAGGTGATGGACTTGAGAAAGACAAGGTACCAAGAAAGGACAAATTGTGTGCTCTCACAATCGATGCTCAAAAAGCTGGCAATGCTCCATTCTCCATTTCTGTCAATGGCAAGGACAAAACCCCTCTGTCATGTACCCCAACGATGAAACCTATTTACGGTACCACTCCCGTTAAATCAGGAACCCCAATTAAAGTTGGTACCAAACCCGGAGAAGAAGGACCAGCACCTGGTGCAGGTAAACCAGGATTTGGGCCTGACGGAAAGCCTACTCCTGGCAACTTCATCGCTCCTGATGGAACAATCAAAGATGATAAGAACCGACCGATCAAAGGCAAAGATGGCAAACCTCTCAAATGTTCTCTTGGAGGCGCTGGAAATCCCAATGCTCCTAAGACTGATGACAAGGGTAACCTTCTTGGACCAGATGGCAAACCTCTGATTGGATCTGACGGTCGTCCCGTCAAACCTGGTACTGGTCCTGATGGTCCCACTGCTGGTCCTGACGGAACTCTCTTTGGTAGCGATGGTAAACCGCTTCTAGGCAAGGACGCCACGCCACTCAAAGCTGGACAAATGCATGACGGAAAGCCACTCTGCAACAACGAGGGTGAAATCCTTGGACCTGACGGTAAACCTGTTACTGGTCCTGATGGAGAACCTCTTAAGGCCAACAAAACACCGTTGGGTCTTACGGTTCTTCCAGATGGTTCTCTTATGACCCCCAGTGGAAAACCTCTGTGTGGTCCTGATGGCAATCCTTTGAAATGCGGTTTGGACAGCGACAAGAAGCCTGTTATCGATGAGAAGGGTGCTCTCTGTGGCCCTGACGGTAAGCCTCTTGTTGGACCTGATGGAAAGTGCATCAAACCAGGTGCTGGAAGTCTCGGACCTATTGTGAAACCTGACGGAACCGTCACTGATGGATCTGGTAGACCACTGAAAGGTAAAGACGGAAAGCCTCTCATGGCTGCTATGGGATCAAGCGGAAAACCTAAAGTCAATGACAATGGTGATATCGTTGGACCTGACGGAAAGCCTCTGTTAATGCCTATCAAGAAAGGAAAGGGTCCTGGACTTACATTCCTGGCACCTGATGGAACTCTTTATGGTCCTGATGGAAGGCCAATCACAGGTGATGATGGCAAACCACTCAGAGCTGGACTTGGTCCTGATGGAAAACCTATCACTGACGACTCTGGCAGTGTTCTAGGTCCTGATGGAGCTCCACTCTCTGGACCTGACGGAAAACCAGTCAAGTTAGGTGATGGTCCTTTCGGTCCTAAAGTTGGTCCTGACGGAACAGTATATGGACCTGACGGTAAGCCTCTCACTGGACCTGGCGGTAAACCACTCACAGCCAAACTCAGTCCTAGCGGCAAACCAGTCTCCGATGCTTTCGGAAATCTCTTGGGACCTGATGGTAAGCCTCTGACGGACAAAGACGGTAAGCCAGTGAGCCCTGCATCTGATGGCCCCAGTGCCGGACCAGATGGTTCACTTTATGGACCTAATGGCAAACCATTAAGGGGTACAGATGGCAAACCACTCACAGCTGCACTTGGTTCTGATGGCAAACCATTAACCAACGACAACGGTGATATTGTTGGACCCGATGGTAAACCAGTCAAGGGACCTGATGGCCGACCTATCAAGGGACCTAAGGGTACTCCAATCAAAGCACCTGACGCCTTCCCAGGCCCCCACATTGGTGATGACGGAACTGTTACCAAAACTGACGGTGCACCCTTACTTGGATCTGATGGTAAGCCACTTAGAGCGGCTCCTGGAGGAAAGCCTCAGACTGACAAAGACGGAAACTTGGTTGGACCTAACGGTAAGCCTTTGGAAGGTGCTGATGGCAAGCCTGTTCCATCCAGCGGAGGACCATATGGCCCACTTGTTACTCCTGATGGTGATGTTGAAGGACCCGGAGGACTTCCAGTCATCGGAGCTGACAATGTGCCACTCGTCTGCGAACAAAATCCAGAAGGTATACCTTGCAAGGATGGCGAAGGAAACCTTATTGGTCCTGACGGTCTGCCTCTTCTTGGCCCTGATGACAAACCTGTCGTTTTCGGTAAAGATACAGCAGAAGATACCAAGCCAGATGAACAACCGTCTGACATCAACGTTGTTATCCTGGGACCTGATGATAAACCAGTTCCTGCTACAGTTAAGGATCTCGGTGATGGCAAGTTTGCCGTGCAATACGAACCAAAGGAAGAAGGTCCACACAGACTTGATGTTCTGGCTGGAGGTGAACATGCACCAAAATGTCCTGTTGAGGTTGATGTTAAACCGTCTCTCGATCTGGATAAACTAGCATATGGCGTCGGAGGTGGTCCAAGGGTTGGCCCTGATGGAACTCTCTACGGCCCGAATGGCAAACCTATTCTTGATAAGAATGGCAAACCATTAAAGTGTGCTCTTGGACCCATGGGTGGACCTCTCACAGATAAGGATGGAAATTTGTTAGGACCTGATGGAAAACCATTGTTAGGACCTGACGGAAAGCCCATCAAAGGACCAAGTGATGATACGAACAAATCAGGAAAGGGTCTTGACTTGAAGATTAACCCAAAAGATCTTGGAGTTGACAAGCTGAACATCAAGCCCAAAGGACCAAACGATGGAGATAGTCCACCTGGAGCCGCATGTGGCCCGTATATAGGAAAGGACGGACAAGTTCATACTCCATTAGGAACACCACTCCGCGGAAAGGACGGTAAGCCATTGAGGGCTACCCTCGGTAGTAATGGAAAGCCCGTCACCGACAAAGACAATAACCTTGTTGGTCCTGATGGTGCCCCACTTATTGCTCCTGATGGCAATCCTATCAAACTTGGAAGTGGACCTTATGGACCAGCTGTTGGTCCTGATGGAACTCCCTTCGACAAGAACGGAAAGCCTCTAGTTGGGCCTGATGGAAAGCCCCAGAAAGGAGACATTGGACCTAAAGGAAAGCCCCTTGTTGATAAGGAAGGTAACCTTCTGAATCCTGCTGGACAGCCAGTGACTGACAAGGCTGGAAAACCTTTCACTCCAGGTGCAGGTCCTCACATCGGACCTGATGGAACAATATACGACGACAACGGTGAGCCTCTGATTGGAAGTGATGGTCGCCCTACACCAAAAGCAGCTATGACTCCTGAAGGTACCCCGAAATATGACAAGGATGGTGGCATTCTTGGATCCGACGGGAAACCAATACGAGGTAGTGATGGTAAACCTCTTAAAGCAGGAACAGGACCTTACGCTAAACCTGACGGTGAGGTATTCGATTCTGACGGTTCCCCATCCAAAAACCCCAACGGTGAACCAAATCGTGCTGCTGTCGGCGAGGACGGAAAACCAGTCACTGATGCTAAAGGAAATCTCGTCGGTCCTGATGGCAGACCTCTCAAGGGACCTGATGGAAAACCTGTCCGCCCCAATCCTAATGGACCTAGTGGCCCTAGTGTAACTAGCGTTAAACCAGATGGATCTATGTTGGGACCTAATGGTAAACCCCTGAAAGGTGCAGATGGAAAGCCTTTGAACGCTGCAATTGGTAATGATGGCAAGCCGAAGAAAGATCCTAATGGAAACATGGTAGGAAAGGACGGAAAGCCACTCATTGGTCCAAATGGACTACCAATCAAACCTGGTCAAGGAGAATACGGCCCTAGAGTTGGACCAGACGGAACTGTCTTCAAGCCTAATGGTGATCCCGTACAAGGACCCAGTGGTAAACCAACAAAGGCAGGAATCGGTCCAGATGGAAGACCAATGGTAAATGACAATGGCAACATTCTTGGACCAGATGGAATTCCTTTGGCTGGCAGGGACGGCAAACCAGTAACATCGAGTGAGAATCCCTTCACCGGTCCAGATGGTACCGTATACAAGCCTGATGGTTCTCCCATTGGAGGAGGCAAAGGTGGAAAACCTTTGACAGCTGATCAGGACAAAGTTGGTCGTCCTAAGACCGACAAAGATGGAAATCTTCTCGGACCTGATGGTAAGCCACTCCGTGGACCAGATGAAAAGCTGCTCAAAAACGGCATGAAGCCGTACGTATCTCCAGATGGTGATGTTATGATGCCAAGTGGCAAGCCCTTGACTGGTAGTGACAAGAAACCACTCAAAGCTGGAGTTGGTCCAGATGGCAATCCTGATATTGACGACAAGAATTGCATCTTAAATCCTAATGGCCAGAACGTTAAAGGTAAAGACGGAAAACCAGTCCAGACTTCACCTAATGGACCGAAAGGTCCTGGACCAGGTTCTTACATCGGACCTGATGGAATTCTGTACGGACCTGACGGAAAGCCTCTCCTAGGACCTGATGGAAAGCCACTGAGATGTGCACTGGGACCAAATGGTAAACCTCTCACAGATAAGGATGGAAATCTGTTGGGACCTGACGGTAAGCCTCTTCTCGGACCCTGATGGTAAGCCTATTAAGCTGGGACAAGGACCTTATGGACCAACTACTGGACCTGACGGAACAGTGTACGGCCCAGATGGAAAACCAATCCTTGGACCTGACGGTAAACCTCTTAGGGCAGGTCTTGGTCCTGATGGAAAGCCATTGTGCGATGAGAACGGTAATCTGCTTGGACCTGATGGAAAACCATTGACTGACAAGAACGGAAATCCAATCAAACCAGGTGATGGCACAGCATTTGTTGGACCTGATGGAACAGTCTATGGACCTGACGGACATCCACTTCTCGGACCAGATGGCAAGCCACAGAAATGCATGCTTGGTCCAGATGGAAACCCTATGACTGATAAGGATGGAAATCTTTTAGGACCTGATGGCAAGCCTCTTAAAGGCCCTGATGGGAAACCAGTGAAGCTTGGTGCAGGTCCAGTTGTTGGTCCCGATGGTATTGTTTATGGCCCAGACGGTAAGCCTCTTTTGGGACCTGACGGAAAGCCTCTTGTGGCTGCACTTGGATCAAATGGTAAACCTCTTAAGGATAAGAATGGAAATCTTATCGGACCGGACGGTAAACCACTTCTTGGACCTGACGGAAAGCCATTGCATTCCGCTCCTGGTGGACCTGATGGTGCTGGACCGGGTCCTTATGCTGGTCCCGATGGCACTTTGTATGGCCCCGATGGGAAACCTCTCCTAGGACCTGATGGAAAGCCATTGAAGGCAGGACTCAACCCAGACGGATCACTCATGTTGGATGATAATGGTAACATCCTGGGACCTGACGGAAAACCTCTCATCGGACCAGATGGAAAGCCGATCAAACCTGGATCTGGCTACGGCCCAGGTGTAGGACCTAATGGAACTGTGTATGGTCCAGATGGCAAACCACTGCTCGGACCTGACGGTAAGCCCCTCAAGGCTCTTCTTGGAAACCCCAAGACTGACAAAAATGGGAACCTCCTTGGACCTGATGGAAAGCCTGTTCTCGACAAAAATGGCAAACCAGTGCCAGGGGATGGAAAGCCATTCATCGGACCCGACGGAACATTGTACGGTCCTGATGGGCAGCCACTTTTGGGTCCTGACGGCAAGCCTCTTAAGGCAGGTATGGGTCCAGATGGAAAGCCATTATTTGACAAAAATGGAAACCTCTTGGGACCAGACGGAAAACCATTAGTCGGACCAGATGGCAAGCCATTCAACAAAGGAGCTGTTGGTTCAGATGGACAAATTTACGGACCTGATGGCAAGCCTCTTACAGACAAATATGGTAATCCTCTGAGAGCAGGATTAGGAAAACCAAGGACAGATAAGGATGGAAATCTGATAGGCGAAGACGGCAACCCAATGTTGGGACCTGATGGTAAGCCACTCAGGCCTGGACAGTTGCCTTATGTCGGACCTGACGGTACTGTCTATGGTCCTGATGGTAAGCCTCTGCTAGGCCCCGATGGAAAACCATTGAGAGCTGGTCTCGGACCTGATGGAATGCCCCTTTACGACCACAATGGTAATCTCCTTGGTCCTGATGGTAAGCCACTTCTTGGACCTGACGGACTTCCAATCAAGACCGGACCTGGTCCTCACGTTGGTCCTGACGGTACTGTGTATGGTCCCGACGGAAAACCAATCCTTGGGCCAGATGGTCTGCCTCTTAAGGCTATGATGACTCCTGATGGAAAGCCGTTCACAGATCCTAATGGCAATCTTCTGGGACCAGATGGCCGCCCTCTTTTGGGACCTGATGGAAAGCCATTAAGAGCCGGTCCAGGTAGCAGAGGACCAAAAGTTGGTCCTGATGGCACAGTCTTTGCTCCTGGAAACACAATTGGCCCAGATGGTACCGTATACGGTCCTGATGGCAAGCCAATTGATAACAGCAGTATCCTGGGACCTGATGGAAAACCACTTCTTGGACCTGACGGCAAGCCCGTAAAGCTTGGCGGAAAACCATCAATCGGCCCTGATGGCACAGTCTACGGACCTGACGGCAAACCAATTCTTGGTCCTGATGGCAAGCCTCTAAAGGCAGGTCTCGGTAAAGATGGAAAGCCATTATTTGACAAAAATGGAAACCTCTTGGGACCAGATGGAAAGCCACTTTTGGGACCCGATGGTAAGCCTCTAACAGGTGGGGCAATTGGACCTGACGGAACTGTGTTCGGACCTGACGGAAAACCAGTCCTCGGACCTGATGGAAAACCACTGAAAGCCGGTTTGGGACCAGATGGACGTCCTCTTAAGGACCACAAAGCTCCTCCTAGCACTGACAAAGATGGCAACATTCTTGGACCCAATGGAAAACCTCTTGTTGACAAGGATGGAAACCCTGTCAAGATGGCTGGCAAGCCTTACATTGGTCCTGATGGAATCCTGTATGACGAAGAAGGAAATCCTCTCCTAGGACCAGACGGAAAGCCTTTGAAGTGCGGTCTTGATAAGAATGGTAAGCCATTGTTCGATAAGAATGGTAATCTTCTTGGACCAGATGGTAAACCACTGCTCGGACCTGACGGTAAGCCGCTTAGCAAGGGAGCTGTCGGACCAGACGGTACAGTATATGGACCTGATGGCAAACCTATCATCGGACCAGATGGTAAACCACTTAGAGCAGGTCTGGGACCAGATCCAACAACGCTCAAAGCTCTGATGAGTCCTCCTGATACAGACAAGGACGGAAATCTCCTCGGTCCAGACGGGAAACCACTGACTGATGCAAATGGTAACCCAATCAACGCCACTGACAAACCTTACATCGGACCAGATGGTACATTGTATGGCCCAGATGGGAAACCTCTCCTAGGACCTGACGGCAAACCCCTTAAATGTGGTTTCGACAAAAATGGCAATCCTCTCTTTGACGAAGATGGTAATCTTCTGGGACCTGACGGAAAGCCACTCGTTGGACCTGATGGTAAGCCATTCAACAGAGGAGCTGTTGGACCTGACGGTAAACTGTTTGGCCCTGACGGTAAACCAATCTGCGACAAAGACGGAAATCCAGTGTTTGCTTCTCTTGGAGCTCCTAAAAAAGACAAGGATGGAAATCTTTTGGGACCTGACGGTAAGCCTCTTACAGGACCCGATGGCAAACCAGTTGGTGAAGGCCCCGAGGTCATCTTAGGACCCGATGGAAAACCACTCAAGGCTGGATTAGGACCTGATGGCAAGCCAAGGCTTGGACCAAATGGTGAACTTCTGGGACCAGACGGAAAACCATTAGTCGGACCAGATGGCAAGCCTCTAAATGTTGGCAATGGCCCATCTGTTGGTCCTGATGGCACAGTTTTCGGACCTGATGGAAAACCTTTACTTGGACCTGACGGTAAACCACTCAAAGCTATGCTTGGCCCCGATGGCCAACCAATAACTGATAAGGATGGTAACTTGATTGGACCGGATGGAAAACCATTGGTTGCCGGTGACGGAACAAATGGTGGTCCAAAGGTAGACAAAGATGGAGCTCTACTCGACAAAGATGGTAAACCTCTTCTCGGACCGGACGGCAAGCCACTTAGATGTGGTGTTGACAAGAATGGCAATCCTCTTGTAGATAAGGACGGAAATCTTCTTGGACCTGATGGAAAGCCTCTGATCGGAGCCGATGGTCAACCTATAAAATGTGCTCTTGGCCCAGATGGCAAGCCCAAGAAGGACAAACATGGTAACCTTCTTGGACCAGACGGCAAGCCTATCATCAAACCTGGAAACCCAGTATCTTCTGGAAAACCTGCATCTGGTGGTCCAATTGTTGGTCCCGATGGTACTTTGTTGGGACCTGATGGTAAACCACTTCTCGGACCTGATGGCAAGCCACTCAGAGCAGGACTTGGACCTGACGGAAAACCACTTAAGGATGCTAATGGCAATCTCCTTGGACCTGACGGTAAACCACTTCTCGGACCTGATGGCAAGCCTATCAAAGGAGGAACATCTATGAATCCAGATGGTACACTCGCTGGACCAGACGGTAAACCTTTGTTAGGACCCGACGGTAAACCTCTGCAAGTTGGAGTAGGAAAGCCATTAGTTGATGAAAATGGTAACATGCTCGGACCTGATGGCAAGCCCTTGTTGGGACCCGATGGTAAACCAGTGAAAGGACCAATTGTGTCCCCTGATGGAACTGTTTTGGGACCAGATGGAAAGGCTCTATTGGGACCAGATGGTAAACCTCTGAAGGCTGGAGTTGGACCAGATGGAATACCTCTTGTTGACAAGAACGGAAATATCCTTGGTCCAGATGGAAAGCCACTGCTGGGTGCTGATGGAAAGCCTCTGAAGGCTGGATGTTTAGTGTCCCCTGATGGCACAATACTTGGACCTGACGGTGCCATAATACTCGGACCTGACGGAAAGCCGCTACATGCCGCTCCTGGTGCTCCTTTGACTGACGATAATGGCAACATACTTGGACCTGATGGTTCACCTCTTGTTGGAACTGATGGCAAGCCAATCAAGGCTGGAATCCCAACAAACGGTCCTATGTGTGGACCAGATGGTACCCTCTTGGGACCTGATGGTAAGCCAATCATTGGAGCTGACGGCAAACCTCTGAGAGCAGCTCTTGGACCAGATGGGTTACCTATGGTTGACCAAGACGGAAATCTTCTTGGACCTGGAGCAAGGCGTCTACGTGGTCCTGATGGCAAGCCAATACACGCTGGACCATCTGTTGGTCCTGATGGCGTTGTCAGGAGCCCAGATGGCTTCCCAATTGCTGGCGCTGATGGTCTGCCTCAGATTTGTATGATGGACGACTTTGGTAAGTTGATGTGTGCACCTGACGGAACACTCATGGGAGAAGATGGAATTCCCATCATCGGACCAGCTGGCAAACCTATCAACGAACATTGTGCTCCTCCAAATGGACCTCCCACCGGACCTGACGGCACTGTCTACGGCCCTGATGGTAAACCTCTTCTCGGACCTGACGGAAAACCACTTAAAGCAGGTCTCGGACCCGACGGTCTTCCTTTGACAGACAAGGACGGAAATCTCCTTGGACCTGACGGAAAACCATTAAAGGGACCTAACGGACAACCAGTACGAGCAGGACCATGCGTTGGACCTGATGGAGTTGTTAGACACCCAGATGGCACCGTTGTTAAAGGTTTAGACGGCCAGCCTATCAAGGCCGCAGTTGGACCTGATGGCAAGCTAATGGTAGCCCCTGATGGAACTCTTCTTGGACCTGATGGCAAGCCACTTTGTGGACCTGATGGCAAACCAATGAAACCTGGCAGTGGTATTGGACCAGATGGAACTTTGGTCGGACCAGACGGTCAAGCACTTGTTGGACCAGACGGTAAGCCTCTCAAGGCAGGTCTCGGTCCTGATGGAAAGCCACTTCTTGGACCTGACGGAGCTCTACTCGGACCTGATGGAAAGCCATTGGTTGGACCTGATGGCAATCTCATTGGTGCTGATGGTAACCCGCTACTTGGACCTGATGGTCGACCTGTTCGTCCTGGAACAACAGTCGGACCTGATGGAACAGTTTTCGGACCAGACGGCAAAGCTTTATTGGGACCTGATGGAAAACCACTGAAGGCTGGTCTTGGCCCTGACGGCAAGCCCCTTAGAGGACCAGGAGGAGAACTTCTAGATGAAGACGGTAATCCTCTTGTTGATGAGAACGGTAATCCTATCAAACCTGGAACAACAGTTGGCCCCGATGGAACCGTGTACGGACCTGATGGTAATGCACTCATTGGACCTGACGGCAAGCCTCTTAAGGCTGGTCTAGGTCCCGACGGAAAGCCACTTCTAGGACCTGACGGATCGCTTCTTGGACCTGATGGTAAGCCACTTCTTGGACCTGATGGTAAACCTGTTGGTCCTGGCAATGATCGAACTCATGCTACTGGTCTTGGTCCTGATGGAAAGCCTCTTGGACCTCTTGGTGCTGACGGAAGACCTCTGCCAGTTGAAGAGGGAGGTGATATGACAGTGATGTGTGTTGGACCTGACGGAGATCTTGTTCCAGTAGAAATCATCGAGAACCCTGACGGAACCTACTCCGTAAAGGCAGCTCCTGGAATAGAGGGCGACTATGTTGCTGACATAATCGGGCCTGATGGCAAGAAACTCGCAAGTATTCCATTCCATGTTGAACCCCAGATCGATGCCAGTAAGGTTAAGATTAACGGTGATAGCATTGATGGAGTCGTCAAGAAAGACAGGCCAACAAGCTTTGAAATTGACACCACAGATGCCGGAAAAGGACCATTCACTGCGTCACCTTACGAGCCGGAGACAGTCAAGAATGGAGGTATTCCCGGAGTCGGAGACAAAGACGGACCCAAGAGTCCTGATGAGGAAGATACTGACATCAAGGTTGCTGTTATCGGACCCAACGGAGAACCAGTCGACTGCACAGTTGTTGACAAGGGTGACGGTTTGTTCGATGTTTCATACAAGCCCACAAAGAAGGACCCCACAAAGTCGTTGTTACAGCTAACGATGATCTGGTGCCTGGTGCCCCAGTTCCAGTGGATGTCTTCCCCAACGGAGATGCAAGCAAGTGCAAAGCAAGTGGACCTGGTCTTGAACCTAAAGGACTCGTTGCAGGTAAACCTGGCACTTTCAAGGTTGATGCTACCCGAGCAGGCGATGGAGACGTGGAGGTTGTTGTTACCTCTCCTAATCCTAAGTTCGATGCTGGTGTAAAGGTCACCAAGAGAGGAAAGGGAATATTTGATTGCGAATACAGTCCTTCATTGAAGGGACCGTATGAGGTCAAGGTACTCTTCGCTGGAGAGGAAATCCCCGGCAGTACATACGCTGTCAAGGTTGCTCCTAACCCCAACGCTGAGAAGGTTATCGTTTCTGGCAAGGGTCTCAAGAAGGGCTATGCCAAGAAACCTAACAAGTTCACTGTTGCACCTAACGGAGCTGAAGGAGCCCTTAACTTCGACGTTGAAGGACCCTCTAAGTGTGATATTGATGTGGAAGACAACGGAGATGGAACTGTGACAGTTACCTACACTCCTCAAGAAGCCGGAGAATACACCATCAACGTCACCTTGGATGGTGCACAAGCCCCTGGAGGTCCATTCTTCCCTCTCATTGAGGAACCACAACCGTCTGATGCCTCCAAGGTTAAACTTTCAGGTGATGGAATCGGAAACAACGTTAAGACCGGAGTTCCTTCGACCATCAAGATCGACGCGTCGGAAGCAGGCCCAGGAGATGTTGGTGTTGTCATCAAATCTCCAAGTGGATCCAAGGTTCCAGTTAAGATCATCGACAATGAAGATGGAACATACGACGTTACCTTCGTTCCTGAAGAGGTTGGAAACCACAACGTCGATGTCAAGTTTGACGGGGATAAGGTGCCTGGTGCCCCTCTCACTGTTCCAGTTAAACCTGGTATTGATGCCAACAAGGTGAAATGTGCTGGAGACGGTCTCGATAATCCCAAAGCAAAACACGACAATGTGTTCACGATCGACACTAGTGACGCTGGACCTGGAGATGATGTTACCGTTGAAATCGTTCCAATCGACAAATCTGGTAAACCAATCCCTGGAGGCAAACGAGTTCCTGTTACCATCAAGGATCTCGGAAACGGTATCAAGTCTTGTGTTTTCAAACCGGATGATGAAGGACTCTATTCAGTGGATCTCAAATTCTGCGGAAAGAACCCCAAGGACTTCCCTCGCGGTATTAACGTTAAGGGACCAGGTGCTCAGGGAGCTCGTCTACCTAACATCAATGGTCTTGAGGTCGAACCAGATCAAGAGATCAACATTCCAGTTGACCTCAGTGGTTCAGGCCCAGGTAACTTTGTTGTTATCATGAGGAACGACACAACCGGAGAAGAAGAACCAGTCCGTGTGACTGATGGACCTAACCTGATCAAGAACGTTACTCTGAAACCAAACGGTTCCGGACCACACACCATTGTCATGACATTCGATGATGAAGATCTTCCCGGTGGACCATACACCATCACCGTCAAGAAACCAGTCGGTGCTGATGCATGCTTCATGAAACCAACTAAGGATGGCAAGCTGTTCACCCCTGACGGCGACTTTTTGTCCTTCGTTATCGATCTCAGCCAAGCCGGACCTGGATCTCTTACTGGTATTGCCAAGACACCAAGTGGTAAGACTGTGCCAATTGACATTGAAGTTGATAAGGATACTGGACTCGCACAGATCAGGTTCAAGCCTACTGAAAGAGGAATCCATATCATCAACCTACTGTTCAACGGTCATCCAATCCCCGGATGTCCATTCGAAATGGATATCCAAGGACCTGCTGATGTAACAATGAACGGCGGAAAACCAAGAGATGGATCCAACACAATCTGTCTAGATCTCGACGACAGATCTCTGGTGGTTGTTCCTAACCTGGTAAATGTCAAGATAACTAGAGGACAGGACATGAAGATCCCAATCGATCTTACCTTCTCTGGAATGGGAGAGATCGAGGTTACCTGTATCCACGACTCAACCCTTGAACATGTCCCATGCAAACTTGTGGACACTCCTAACGGAAAGGAAGTACAAGTCAGCCCCAAAGAACCCGGCTGGTACACTGTCCATCTCAAGTTCAACGGACAGAACTTACCTGGAAGTCCATACAAATTCGAGGTCAAGGAACCCACTGGTGCTGACGCCTGCAAGATCAAGCGAGGCCCCAAGTCACCTCTCAAGGAGGGAGATGAAGTTACTCTTATCATCGATGTGTCCAAGGCTGGCGAGGGACAACTCCTCGGAACATGCAAGGGACCTGATAGCAGTAACATCACTGTGAGGACCACAACTTTGGACAACGGAGATATTGAGGTATCATTCAAACCAAGAGGAGATGGAGACCACACCCTGGATCTCACTTTCAACAACAGATCCATCCCTGGATGTCCTGCTATCGTCAACATCAGACACGTTACCCCAGACAGCATGGGTCTTGTATTGGACCTTGCACCATGGGAGGTGGACGCTGGAGCTAAGGGAGCTAAGGGAGTCAGACATCCTAACTTCGACGATATCACCGTACAGCTCAACCAGACCATGAAGGTTAGATTTCAAGTTATTTCTTTTCCTTTTTTGAACATTTGTGAACAATTCCTTCAAAAAAATGAATTTCTTTTTTTGAATCACATCGATAAACTATTTTGCTAGTAACCTAAAACTGTTCACTTTCAGATTCCTATTGATCTGAGTGCTGCTGGCCCTGGTAACATAGAGGTATCCTGCATGCAGGAGAAAACTAAAACTCCTTGCCCAGTCACTGTTATACCCACCAAACAAGGTTATTATTGTTAATTAAGTATTATTGTTAACTGTTAATTAAGTTGAATCGTAAAAGTCTACTTTGAACTGAGAGGCCGATTAGTTTGTCTATATTTTAGGTTAAAATAACTTACAGATATAGATATAGTATAGATCCCTATACAAGTCTAAACCACAGCCTATTTTTAGACATTTAGACATGTATTTTTATCAAGGGATTCTTTATACATCCCTTCATCAATTGAAAAATACCCATGACCCTACTTTACTAGGTGCTGTTGAGATAGCTGTGAAGCCCCTGGAAACAGGACCTCATCTACTCCACATCACCTTCAACGGAGTGGATCTGCCCAAGTCTCCATTCAGATTCATGGTGGAACCACCAAGCGGTGCTAACGCTGTCACTCTCAAGAAGAACGCACAGGCTGTCAAGGTAAATAATCTTGTCCCCTTTAGTTCTTTTAACTATTCTTTGGACTTGAGTCTGAGTTGTTTGAATGAAATGGAACCACATCAGTGCTTGTCAGCCAATATTATTCAAGATATAGGCAAATGACTTTGTCATGACTGGCCTCTTACACACTGAGGAAACTATTGTAAGTGACAGTGAGCATGAAACTGAACTGTGCCTACTATTCAGGTTGTGAAGGACGGAGTACAGTTTGCTATCGACTGTTCCAGAGCTGGACCTGGTGTACTTACCGCCGCCTGCACTGGACCTGATGGACAACTCGTACCTTGCGACTGCAAGAAGGTAAAAATTGGTTTTAAGTTATAAATATAAATATATTATAATGTGTATTGTGTAAGTTATATATTATAATGTGTTAGTTTCATAGCCGTATGGTTGCCGGAAAATGAGAGTTTACAGAACACTGGTGAAGGTTCAAAACTTGCAATTTTACTACCGATAAATTATAGCCGTTAATGTATTTAACGGCCAAACCAATAGTTAGTATTATGCAGCGTCATGTTTACAGCGTAACATTACACGCATAATATGAGAAATATTACACGCTCCACGATAACAAATAATAATGATAATTCACAATATAATGCGTACCAGCCATAACATGATAGTAACAACCATAAACCCACAGTCCGGTAGCGACCAGCTGATAACAATAAAGCCCACCAAGCCTGGACTTCACTCCCTGGAAGTTATGTGGGACGGCCAACAAATCCCCGGATCACCGATTGAGATAATGATTAATATGGTAGACGGACGAATCATTTACGAGCTTTGCGACGTACTGTTGATGCTGATGGGTGCTTTCACCGTGAGAACCCCTGATCTCAGTAACATCCAACTTGAGATTAACCAGTTTATTAGGATTCCTATTGATTGCAGACTTGCTGGTCCTGGAAAACTTCAGGTTTGTTTTTAGGATTTATTGGTTTGTTGGAATTTTGGTTTGTTCAGTGGGATTTATCAAGGGTTCATTTCTAACTGTGCCCCGGACTGCAACTAGAGAGTGCACAAAATTTGTTACCCCCTTGTACACTGTACTATACACAGTTATTCCATACTAGTCTCACCTCCTGCTTTGTAATATTTTCGCTGAGTAAATTCCGAGGTTTTAATTTGCTTTTCCTGCTTTCACCCGGCCTACCGGATGAAACGCTGCAAATCTCATTATAGGAGCTGCACAATCTGTCACGTGACTACGTTTTGTTGTGTCACGTGACAAGTTGATGAGCCTTTTAAGAAAATATTTAACTTTTTCCAAATAGATTGAGTGATAATAATGTTAAAATGAGGGTCATCAGTCGGTCTATTTAGAAAGAAGAGATTCTTGAAATAATACTCAAATAAGACTCAACAACAGCACAGCCGTACAGGTCTTACGATTCAGTAGCAAAAAACTCTATGCAGTGAAGTGCACACTCAACACCTCCCTGCTACTGCAGTATACTATGGTAATTGCTCAATCACATGATAATATGTTTAACTCAGGTCACCTGCAAAAATGAGGACACTGGAACTTCCATTGATTGTGATATGAAGAAGACCGGAGATATGTACGAGATTACAATCAAACCTACAGGTAATTATCATCCAAATAGTTCCATTCCCACCACTCATTTGTCAAATCGATTAGATTCAAGTTTTCTTTCAAGTGAAAACGTCTAAAGCCGCCGCCGATCAAAAAAGAAGTTACCAATGAATATTTCTACCACTCCTAGCCAAGTTTAAACAATTTCCCTTGATCAGATCCTGGTCGACACGCTCTGAACATCATGTGGGACGGTAAGCACATCCCAGGATCCCCAGCTTACTTCACAGTAAAGGGACCTGCCCCTGCTAGACTCTGTTACATCCTCTCTGGAGCTGACCACATCAAGTGCAGCAAGGGAGCTATATCGTTCAGGTTGGTTAACTGGTGCTGTAACAGTTGCGGCAGAATCACGTATAGTTGATATCAGTTCACTGTACTGATTGTGATTCTGTAGGTTTTGTATGTTATTCTGTAGCTGCTGGAAAACTTGCCAGCCCAAGCTGACATGTAGGAACTTTACAGAAATTGTATGCAGCGATACTTTGATTCCGGAACAGTTCAGCTGCCAACAAATAGAAATACTGGGGGAATGTGTTTGCTCAAAATAATATGCTTAATTTCTATTGTCACTAAGCATATAATCCTGAATTCCGCTGGCCCAGTGCAAGACTAGTTTGGGTTCTGATAAATTTCTATTACATCTATCCCCTTAAACAAGCCGAATATTTTAACACGATCCCTTCAGATGTACCACCCAAGAAGCAGGCAAAGGAGAACTTACTGCCATTGGAGTAGATCCGTTCGGTAAGCAGTTCGAGTGCGAAATCACTGAAGAACCTAACCTAACCTACGCTATTGCCTTCAAACCGGAGGTACCTGGTGTACACAACGTAGACGTTAAGTACAACGGGCTGAGCATCAACGGCAGTCCTGCCCTCATTGACATAAAGTCCCTACCACAGGTACTATTAGAAATATTCAACATTCCACGCTACTGTATTTAGCTATTCACCTCGACTTTAATCAACTGCATACAATACGTATAGCCTTAGAAAGGAAGTGTAGCTGGCCACTTAACTGGCTACTTAACTGGCCACTTAACTGGCCACTTAACTGGCCACTTAACTGGCCACTTAACTGGCCAGTGTCGCTTATTTAACGTGCTCAATGACCTACATATCCACCTGATCCACACCATCTTAACCAATATCACCCCAGGGAGATGAGGGTGGTATCTCGCTCGAGCTGATCAGCTGCAGAGACACAACCTCCAGTGGCGCCGGAACGGAAACCCAAGTCCAACAGAAAGCGACCATTACCCTGCCCATCCCACAGAAGGACCACAGCGGACTTTCGGTGTCTTGTAAGGGACCTGATGGAAGCGATCTGCCTTGTGAGGTAAAACTCCCTTTATCTTTTCAAGTTTTATTTGGATTCAGTCACATTCCAGTTTCATAACAAAAATTGAAAACTTGTCAACTAAATTTATGGTGCGCCATTAAAATATGAGACGCACAATAACCACTCATTTTATTTATTATATATGTATAATAATTATATATTTTATTTTATATATTCTTTATTTCAGTTGGGTGCCAGTACTGACGCCGGTATTAACGTTCTGTTTGAACCAAGTCAAGGTGGTAAACACACTTTGACGGTCATGTTGAACGGTAATAACTACCCAGGGACGCCTGTAGACGTAGAAGTACAAGGACTGTAGGATCTAACTTATTTTTAGGGGATGGATTTGAATAAACGTCCTCTAGGTTCATATTATCACAAATTTGGGAAGTTTTTCTCGGGCGGATCGGACTAGTTTGATACACGACCCCAACTGGTTTTATCTGACTCAGTTTTTCTATTCTTAATTAAAGCGTTTTATTTTGTTTAAAATTCAATGTTTTAAATTTAAAGTTATATATTTGCAAATGAATGGTGATTTGTACTATACTTTCTTTTTTCTGTTTTCTATGGATAGCACTTATGGTGAAAATTTGGCTGAATTTGTATGTTGTCGCCACTATTAACATCACCGAAACCCCGTGGTAATCAAAATTTTCGGTTACCATGGAAACCATCTTCCGGTTGTCGTGGTTTCAATATATGACTCTATGCTGATGTTTATATTTTGTACAAAAAATGTTTTTGAGCTTATGTTAAATAACAGTATGCTATTGTATAGATACGAGATATACGAATTACGATGACACACTCTTTACGGATTATATTGATAACCTACAAATTTTCCAATGTAAAACTATGCGTACAACTATTAAGTTTAGATTTTACTAAACAAATTGATGTGTTTTTATTTGTTCGTGGCTTTTTAGTTCATAGTTCGAGGAAAATGATTATGCTGAAGTAGGATGAATCTCTCAACATAAAAATGTAAGCGGTTTTCCGTTTTTGACAAACAACCTTGAGATACATACTCATACTGAGTGGAGTTGGGTTAAAAACATATAAGAGATACGATGATTTAACTTGTAGAAGCTTTCAATAAACATGTGTTAATCGTCGTCAGCTGAATGTGATGTGGTGGACAATGCTTATATGTGATTGAGTGGTGTCAGGGATGGAGGGTGGGGGAAGTGTGGGTGGGAAAGTGAAAATTACAGTACAATGTCAATAAAAATTTAGTCTTCTGTTGAGGTTGAGAAGGAAATGCCAGATGGTCTGGACTTTAAGGATTTGGCAATTTTAGGAAGAATGGGGTCCCAGAGGGAACTACATTTGGGTGCGCGGTCTGTTCTGTTCATAGCTGGTTGTCGTATTTGTATAGCTGCGTGTTCTGTGAGGTCAAGTTGGGAGCGTGAGGTGAGGGATTTGAGGACTTCGATGTTGTTCCAGGAGATGGTGTGGCCGGTGGTCAGGGCATGATGTGCAGGGGCTGATTTGATTCTGTCTGTGGATTCGTCGATGGCGTTGTTGAGTCTGTAACATCGTTCGTGTTCTTTCATGCGGTGGACCAAGGGTCTGTAGGTCTGTCCGGCGTATTTGGAGGGGCACTGTGAGTACATACTCATAGTTTATAAAGTTGCAAGTACGAAGAGTGGAGACATTCCATATTATATCATTGCAGTTATTAACTGCATTTGCAATAACTCACATTATATTTGTTATTTTTTCATTACGCAAATTTCATCTGCGGTGCATACTTAATAGGTTTACTGGTTTAACAGCCACCGCGACCCGCGTGCTCCGAAATGATATCTACCGTTGAGTGGACACATTTATTGCTTGATACATGAGCGGGGGATAAAATGGATACATTGAGTAAAATAACTTAAGACGCGGAGGTGCAATTACAAGCTGGTATAGACATACTAAGTACATGGGAATCAACATAAGAGATGATGATAACCCGACTCTGGTTGCTGGGAGTGGGAAGAACATTGAGAAAGTCGATGACTTTGTATATTTGGGTAGTAGAATGAAGAGTTCGGAGAAGGACTTCGAAGTGAGGAAAGCTAATGCATGGGGAGCGTGTCACCAAATGAAGCTTGTATGGAAGTCGGATATGCGTAGAGATCTCAAGATACGACTCTTCCTGGCTACAGTCGAGTCCATCCTTCTATATGGCTCTGAAACATGGACTGTCAGCCAGACCCTCGCAAAACGTATTGATGGATGTTATACGAGAATGCTGAGGATGGCACTTAACATTGACTGGAAAGAGCGGCAGACTAACGCCAAGGTGTATGGACACCTCATCAGAGCATCTGATAAGATAGCTGCACGGAGGATGAGACTCGCACGCGCAGGTCATTTAGCCAGACATGAAGAACTTCTGAGTCATCAACTTCTCTTCTGGGAACCCCTTCAAGGACATCGTCGAAGGGGAAGACCACACCTCACATATATTGACATCCTTCGGAAGGACACGGGGCTTGACGACAGCAAGGAGATTAACAAACTCATACTGGATAGACAGATTTGGAAAAAAAACTATCTCTGTTCGGACGTTGAAGCCGCCCTAAGTCGAGTAAGTCGAGTATAAACGTATAATCTAATGATTGAGGTAAACTGCTAACGGTGGTTCAAACTGAAACATGTGACAACACTTCCAATTCCAGGCTCTTTTATAGTTAAATAAGAGTTTTCTCAATTTCTTCGATTGACACTTGACCATTGTTACCTTATCGGACCTTATTTGGACGGACATTACTTGAACGCTGGAGGCCCTAGCGTTCATCTTAATGTCCGTTCAAATAAAGTCCGTTTAATTAATGTCCGTCCAAGTTAAAGTCCGTTGAAATTTTTTCAAAAATTTTTCCATTTCGAACTTTTTGTCCAGAATATGACAACTATGAAAACTTTATTGTGCCGTAAGTTAACGACGGAAAGGTTCTCTTTGGTCTGCCGGAGGCACAGAAAACTCTACTAGTATATGATGTTATCAAGGGTCACTTGGCGGAAAAAGTCAACGAAATTATGGCACTCAACAACATAGTTCATGAGCTAGTCCCCGCCAACATGACAAAGTCAAACTTGTTCCAACCTCTAGATATTACGGTAAATCGTGTCGCCAAGGACATTGTCCGACGTTATTATAGTTCATATTACTAAAGCTAGAAATCACAGAAGCATGGACTATTTCATGCACGAAAACCCATTTGATAAAGATGATATGTGACATTAGACACTGATCATGTACACATATTTTAACATGTTTACTGCTTAATGACTCCTTTTCTTACTTACTGTACAAAAAATGGATTTAAAAATCATTTGCTGAAATTAAAAAAACGTAAAAAAATTGAAAAAAGTTCGGATTTTTGATGGTTTTGAATGCCTTCGAGCGTTCATATTAATGTCCGTTCATAATTATGTCCGTTCATGTAATGTCCGTCCAAATAAGGTCCAATAATGTAATCATATTTATAATGGTCTGGCCCGGCGCGCGCTACTTCGAAGAAATTTAGACGAGTAACATCCGTCAAATTGACACTCGTTTACTTTTTTTTCATCATTATATTTATACTTATAGTATGGCGCCATGATCAGGTCCTACGTGAAATCATGAAGACCGTTTCATCACAGATTGAAGAGTTTAATTCCGACATCGCCAAGGAATCGAAAAGGGCACCGTCGGTCTTTCACAAGGCAGGCAATAAGCGCGAGAAGGTTACCTTAGCTGACCCAACTCATCATAAGACCCAAAGATATTTCTTTTCAGATGCCAACGACTGGAAGATAATATTTGATGAGGATGAGAGACAGAGGAACTTCCCGCAGCACATTGCAGCTACACCACTAAGACCTGATGTAGTGATCTATTCAGATAAAGCAAAGAAGGTTTATCTAATGGAGCTGACTTGTGGAAATGAGCAGAACTTTGCTGATCAAGAGAAGCGAAAGATGAAGAGATATCAGCAGCTGACAGAAGAGATAGAAGCCAACGGATGGGCTTGCAAGCTCCAGACAGTAGAAGTGGGAGCTCGAGGCATTTACAACTATAGCCTCCCAACCTTTATGAACCACCTGAACGTAAACAACAAAGAGAAGAAGAAGGCCTGCATGAAGATCGCTGAGATCAGCCTGAGGGCATCGTATACCATCTATTTGTCCAGAAACAATACCATATGGACAGATGATTGGGAGTTAGTCAAGAGACCAGTAATAGGATAGTAGGAGCGTAGAATGTTTGGGCCCAGAAAAACATGTTTAATACCGCTATGAACCCGTCATAAGCCGGGGACTACTATGAAAGTGATGATGCTGTGTTGTTGAAAGACCTTCGACCAATCAAAGATGTACCTCATCACGCCAAGCAGTTATGCTTGTAGGTGAATATACACTTATAGAGTACAACAACTTTATAACACTCCCATACTTATTCAACAAAATAACAAAATTTGCTTTGTTTTATTTTAATTTCAGTCTGCCTTCGATTTTACTCTCGCTGGTGAATAGATTTTACAAATACTTGTATTGCGATTCTAAATTTTCACTTTTATAGTTATACCTATTCCTTGTAAAATTAATACAAATAAAAACTAACTTAATAAATATGATTAATACACTGTTATGCCGCTCCTGTTAAGAAAAGTATGTAAAGCAAAGCACGCTACTTTGAATTTAGTGTTCTTTAGTTCTTATCAAATTTAGTGTTCTAGTATAAGTAACACTAACACTAACCAATGCTTGCATGTTTTATTGTTTATTTGCACTGAGCAGTGAGCAAAGGTCCTTCCCAAAATTGAAAGTCATTATAACTATAAAAGAAGTACTGCTACTTCACACAATATCATTGTCAGGCAGTTTCTATTCTCGCACTTGACTACTTTGTTTCCCGTTGTGATATCGGCCAGCAGTCATGTTTTTAATCATTAATGTCGACGGTTAAGTTTCAAATGCAGCCCATGTGTTATAATTACCTGGGGATACCTGGGGATACCTGTTCAAACTTCATGAATATATGAATAGAGATTTGGCGGTACTCATGCCGGGTGATTCAGAATTACTGTTGATACAGATCATTACATTTACATTTACAATTTCAGTTTCACACGGCATACTATTACCCCTCAACTTCAAGCAAAGCCAAGGCCAGAGGCCCTTTTGCATTTTTAAAATTTATGTGATCAATTTACTGGGAAAAGTATTTTTAATCCCTAATCTTTATCCCAGAGTGATTATCTGGCACGCCAATTTTTGTGATTGTATGTGGCGAGCTCTTTTCAAACTTCATGCACATTGCAGAAAGAAACGTGAAAGAATCCGTGAAAGAACTAAAAGCGAGCTAGGTCATGGGTAATACCGAACGAATCTTAAAGAAAAATTTAAATTTAGTAAAATTTAAAGCATGGTACATATTGCAAATCTGCAATCTACTAGTAGTATAATTTTATAGTACTGACTTAATTTATTATATTTATATAGCTTAAAATGACGGGTCAGTGGGTCACGCGCGTGAACCTTTAACACGTACAATTAAGCTGAGACTAAGAGTAGTATACTAGTATAGTATAGTATAATATTGTAGTATATATTATTATTAGTACGCGTATTATAGTATAAGTATAACTATAACTATAAGTACGCGTATGCTGCGTACAACTGTACAAGTTTAATTGTACGTACAGTTAAAGGTTCTTCCGTTATTGTAAGCTATCAGGATGAGGTAGACAATCCCTTCTCTTCTGTCATGTAATGTCCTCACTTATTATACTTATAGTCACTGTTGTGATTACAGTTTAAGTGTAATCTAACCACGTTAATTAACAAACAAACAAACAAACAACTAGACTTAGAGGAGATTGTTTTATTTTTACAATTTGTAGATACGCAGTTGTTATCGTCTGGAGGGGGATTGTTTAAAACATATAAGTGACACGAAAAGTTTGTTTTAGCAGGAGCTTTCAAAATACATGTGTAAATCGTCTTCAGCTGCATCTTCATATAGGGATAGCGTCTTCCTCAGTTGTTTACGTGTTCAGCTCGTTAATTAAGTTTAGCTGTTTGTTTGTTTGTTTGTTTGTTAATTAACGTAGTTAGATTACACTAAAACTGTAAATGTAATCACAAAAGTGACTATAAGTGAGGACATCTAATATAGTGTTTATAAGTATAAGTGAGGACATGACATGACGATGAGGATCAAATTGTTACCTCATACATTTAAATAAGATTGAAACGTATGATGAGAGTAATTGTTGATGTAAATGCAATGGTGATCACAACCAAGTTCTGAAATCACGCTTCTATAGGAGCCGCGAGCCTATATAGGAATGGTAATTATCAGAACTGTCAATTGTCAATGTTGTTATTTTAAATTGTGTTGAGTACGGACTACTAAACCTGAGTTGTAGGTTTATAACCTACCAGGACGCGTGCCGAGTTGGACTCGTCGACGGTCCTGTATTTGGAGCAAATATTTTACGAGTATCACCCGTTAAAACCTGAGCACCGACTACTAAACACTAAAACTACTAAACCTAAAAATTCTGTAATGATTTTAGAGTGAGTCCGTATGGACTATAATGAAACAGTTTGTTTCTTTCAAATTTAAAATTATACAAAGTTTAGGTATAACTACGAATATTCTGCGATTTGTTCATTACCATTATTTTTAGATTATCTCCTCGATTTGTGATGGGAGTATACCTATAACTTTTTCTGTATTTTAATTCAATACTTATTTAAGCTTTAAGTTTAAGATTCCATGGTGATCCGTTATACTTATAATATTAAATCATATAACTTTCATAACCCCATCTAATCAACATACTTTTGTAGCGTTTGTAAACGAGCAGTGAAGGACTAAACAGTAATGGTAATTAAAATCAATGTGATATTAGATAATTACACACAAAATGTTTGAAGATGCGGTTAGACTTAGCATTATAGAAGGGGGTGATATCCAATTTATCATCATCTCATTTTCCCTCAGATAAAATTAAATGTGATTACTTAAATAATGTACCAATATGATTAACATTTTCAGAGACAAGTTATAGTAACGTTATCGTTATGCTTTGCACTTGCTTTTGGACAAAGGGGCGGGCGTCGCCCCCAGTTGCTCGGCGAGAACGATGGCTCTTTTGATGTAAAAATCTACAATGGAGATGATGCTGTAGAAGGAGAATTCCCGTTCATGGTTTGTTTGAGTTTGAAAATTCAGTTGAGAAATAAATGGTTGCTATGCTTGGTCTTAGTCTTACTTTTAAGATTGATCAATATTGTCAACATTACTTCACCTCGCTTTTCAAAAATTAAAATACCATAAATGTTAGGTGCTCTCCTAAATGATTTGTTTGACGCTCTTCTTTTATATCGATTTATGGAATGTGTTTTCAGGTACGAGTCCTACATGGTGGCCAGTATGGTTGCGGCGGAGCCCTTATCTCAAAGGATATGGTGATAACAGCAGCGCACTGTGCGGTAGATGATAGCGGGGGCGCTCTTAAACCTTCCGATTTTACTTTGACTGCAGGGGAACACAAACTGTACGATTTCAGCATCAACGAGCAGGTTCTAGAAGTGACTGAGGTCATCGTCCATCCGAAGTACAATCCATCAACTTTAGAACATGACATAGCTCTGTTGAGGATAAAGCTTTTTGATGGTGCTGACGGTAAGATAAGCGCTATCAACCTGCCTACAGAAGAATTGAAAGAGGAGCTGTACCGAGTTGGAAATGATATAACGATCATTGGATGGGGAGGAACGGAGAAAACAGATTCTTCCAACACTCTTCAAAAATTGACCTACAACATTGCAAGCAGAGAAGATTGCATTGCGTACTGGGGTCAAACTTTACATGACAGTAACATGTGTACCAACATGAAGGACAAGCCATTGACCAGCCATTCCTGGGCGGGTGATTCAGGTGGTCCACTCTTCTCAAAGTACCAAGACAAATTGTATATACTGGGGTTGGTCAGCTTTGGAGTTAGCACCCCGCAAACAGATACTCTTGATGTCAATACGGATGTGTCATATTACTTGGGATGGATCAAGAGACATTACGGGGAATATGACAATGAAGATGACAAGGAAGATGACAAGGAAGATGACAAGGAAGATGACAAGGAAGATGACAAGGAAGATGACAAGGAAGATGACAAAGAAGATGACAAGGAAGATGACAAGGAAGATGACAAAGAAGATGACAAGGAAGATGACAAGGAAGATGACAAGGAAGATGACAAGGAAGATGACAAGGAAGATGACAAGGAAGATGACAAGGAAGATGACAAGGAAGATGACAAGGAAGATGACAAGGAAGATGACAAGGAAGAAGATGGAGACAAAACGGGTTACACACTAAAGTTGAAAGGAGGTAACGGACCAAACGAAGGTATAATTGTTATTGGTCAAAAGATGAAATATTCTGCAATCTGCAATGATAGATTTACCAATATGAACGCAATGGCCGTTTGTAAGCATCTTGGCTTCAAGTATGGCAAGATCAGATGGGCATATGACTTCATGATCAACGAAGATGTTGCTGAATCAATCTCCTCCTTCTCCTACACAAATGTTGCCTGTCCTGCTGACGCTTCAGACTTTTTCAAGGATTGCACAATGGACAAGTACATGCCATCAACAGCAAGTGTTCCCTGTTTTTACGGTGAGCAAGCCGCCGTGTCCTGCTCCAATGATGTGTTCCGGTTTGAAGTGGAAGCAGCTGCCATGAAAGTGTCACTCAAGAAAAAGGGATCCGTCATGAAAGTCAAGTCGGTGTGTAAAGTTGCTGCAGAGAAGTTAGGAGAAGAGATCTGGCTCGCACGGGAGGTGAACACAGTAATAATGAACGTGTCATCAGATGGAAAAGTGACCCAATTCTCTGGCAAGCTAAAGTACAACAGGAAGAGAGGAGTATTCTACAAGAACTTTGTGAATAAGGTTGACCCGGAGTCTGTTAAGGACAACACTTGCTTAGTCTGCCTTGCTCGTCTGAACGGAGCCCCTCTTGTGTCTGCTGTCAAAGTCTCTGATGTTTGCTCTGGAGATGCTGATGAGGCAGAGGCTGCTGTAAAACTGTGGCGGAAGTGTAAGCTAGTAATCTCATATGGACGTTAAAACTGAACATAATTATTGTAGACAGTTCAATTTGAATATTTGTTGTTTAAAGAAACAGTCTTAATTCCATAACGTATTAGAATGCATCGTAGATATTTTAAAAACTTTTATCAGTGATCATTTCAAAATAAAGAACAAATATATTTCCCACAGTTTAGGTGACTTGAAAATCAATTTAAATGACTAAAATAGTTAGTTGTAAATTGCTCTAACGTGACACAGAGGTATATTACATTTACATATTATATATATTTGAGATAACTTTATAGTTAATTTTATTATATTGTTATATATTGCTGTATCAAAATGAATTACATTTAACAAAAACTTTGTTTATTTGACTTTTACTACTACTACTACTACTATGTCGGAGCTAAGTCCGATCTACGCCAGAAAACCCCCTCCATATATCCCTGTCCCGCATCAGGGTTCGCAGTTCCTCTTTAGAGTTTGTCCCAACTTCCTTCAGTAACATAGACAAGTAGCTTCGTCTTGGTCGGCCTTGCTGTGCTCTACCGTGCGTAGGTTCCCATAAGACTAAATCACTGGCAAGTAGCTCAGGATGTCGGATGCAGTGTCCCGCCATTTTTAATCTCCTGCTTCGTAACTTGTTTGACAGCCTTGGGAGGCTACCATACAAAGTTATATTGCTGACCTTGTCCTTCCATGAGATACCCAGCACCATACGCAACATCTTTGTGTATGTCCCGTCCAAACTTTTCTCTTGAGCCTTTGTCAGTGTCCAGGTTTCTGATCCGTAGAGCAGTACTGATTCACAAGCCGCTATGAACAATCTAATCTTTAGGCTCTTTGAGAGTTTGGATTTCCAGATATCCTTCAGTCTATGTAGGGCACCCCACGCTTTTCCCTTTCTAACCCTTATCTCCCTATCTGTGCTCTCAATCCAGGAGCCTAAGTAGATGAAATCATCTACATTTTCTATGGCTTCCCCGGATCGACTTTGTAGGTCGCTAGATCGATCCTCCATATTCAGTGTCATGACCTTGGTCTTGCCTTCGTTTATGTGTAGTCCCACGCTTGCTGCCGCCGATTCTACTCTGAGCAGGAACTCGTTAGCCTTGTCCATGTCCTCAGATATAAGTGCTATATCATCTGCAAAGTCCACATCGGTGATGATCTTGGGCCCCACTCTTCTGCTTTTTCTACGTTCGAGGGTGAGTCCAAGTCGCTCCGCATCATCGCCTATGGCTTGCCTCATACAGTAGTCGATGACTATTGCAAAGAGGTAAGGTGCTAAGGTATCACCCTGTAACACACCTGCAAGTATCTCGAACAATTCAGTTTCTCCGTCTGGAGTTAGGACTTTGGCCATTGTCTTCTCGTACATGAGCCGTATAAGCTGCACGATTTTGACTGGAATGCCGTAAGCTTCTAGAATCTTTAGCATTTTCCCACGATGTACACTGTCGAAAGCCTTCTTAAAGTCTATAAATGTCAGAACAGCTGGCAGTTTCCGACTCTTGACACCCTCTATAAGACGTCTCAGTACCAATATCTGAGTTATTTGACTTTTGATATTCATTAATGACCGAACTAACATTTGTGACGAGCTTAATTAAGCATCGACTTACGTAATTAGTTAAAGACACACTAGTTCCAATTATTTTACTGTTTACAGCCAATTTAATGATGCAATTGCTGGGACTGGCGCTAAGTTTCTCGATGTAATCCGACTTATATACCCTAAATAACACTAATTATTCGGGTACACTTTTTCACCAGTGGGGCATTTCTCGGAATCACGCCCTTTTTGACCGCACCCATATCGGCATATCGCGACCCCCACTATAAATTATCTCGGCTTCTGATTGAGATACATACCTCAGCTATGTACCAAAATATACCTAAGATGCATGTTTATATTAGTGCTATGAAGATACTTAAGGCCTAAGAGACTTAGTTTTTGAGAAATCGCCAAAAGTCCGATTTTACTATACTAGCAGTATCGCGAGTAACAATTATCACACCTATTTCAAGATATCTCAGCTTCTGATTGGAGCTAAGCGCTCATCTTGGGCATTAAAATGGTCAGAATCATCATATTGAGTGGGGAAGAGCATTATTTTAAAGTATTGAGACTTCAGGTTGTTGAGTTATTAGGTCAGATTTTTACGCTTTCGCGAGTAGCGATTGATGCACTTATTTCAAAATATCTCAGCTTCTGATTGGAGCTAAGCGCTCATCTTGGGCATTAAAATGGTCAGAATCAACATATTGAGTGGGCTTGGGGTAGAGCATTATTTTAAAGTATTGAGACTTCAAGTTGTTGAGTCATTAGGTCAGATCCCATTTTTACGCTCTCGCGAGTAGCGATTGATGCACATTGCACTTATTTCAAAATATCTCAGCTTCTGATTGCAGCTAAGCGCTCAGGCTTTTACTAATTCGCTCGCCCAAAAATTTTACGTGACTTTGGTTTTTATGGTTTTGCAGCCGTACAAAACGGTTTTACAAAACCCAAATCCCAACCCTAACCCAAACCATAACCCCGAAGCTATCCATAACCCTTACCACAACCCTAACCCTAACCCGAGCCCTAAACAATCGATTCCATGTTTTAGTTTTACTAGCCTGTCACGTGACCAAAACGGTTTTTTGCCCTAAACTCTCCAGGGAAGCATTATTACTTTACGTCATGGGGGTGATTTGGAATCAGCGTCCAAAAATAGACCGATTCAGATCAATTTCACAACCAAAGGGCCGTTTAACAAGAATTTTCTTAAAATTTGGGCGAGCGATTTAGTAGGAGCGAAGCGCTCATCTTGGGCATTAAAATGGTCAGAATCATCACAATGAGTGGGATAGAGCATGGTTTGAAAGTCTTGAGACTTCAGGTTGTTGAGTTATTAGGTCAGTTCCCTTTTTTACGCTCTCGCTAATAGCGATTAATGCACTTATTAGTTATTTCAAGATATCTCCGCTTCTAAGTGGAAATAAGCATCATGGGCATTAAATTTAAAATAGTAAAAATGATCAGATTAAGTTACTGTGCCGCGCTCAGCCTGTCATTCCGCCTAATCTCTAGTCTATTCGGAAACATGATAGCATGAGGTCCCCAGGTAAAGATTAAGTAGCAAACTAGCATCAAGCATGGTTTTAAAGTCTTCAGACTTTATATGTTATAGGTCAGGACAATTTCGAAAACTTAACTAAACTTTTAAGTACTAGCAGTAGCAAAACTGCGCGTTTTGCTCTAGATACAAACTTTTTTAGAGATTTTACCGGCATAATCTCTAAAATCACCTAATTTGTTCAATTTAAGGGAGGGGCATTAAAAGGGGAGGGGGCGCCAACAGGGGGGCGCTTTTTCGGCGGGGGGGGGGGGGGGGGCGCTAACAGGCAACGTTACGCCACTGCAGTTCAGGTTATTAAATTATTAGGTTAAACCTTATTTTTCCGCTCTGCCTCTCGCAAGTATGGTCACTGCAATGGTGAAAATATTTATTAAATGAACTTTAATTAATCGCCAGGAAAAAGATGGAGGACTTCGCCGCTTCGACGTGCCACGCAAACTAGCATTCTTGCTTCGCAGAGCAACGATCTCGATGGGTTGACACCGTCAATCAAGGAAAAAGTTACCTGAGGACCCCAGGCTATTATGTTCATTAACATAGAGAATAGAGATTAGGCGGAATGACAGGCTGAGCGCGGCCCAGTAAGGAAAAAGTTGTTTTCCAAGAAATATCAGTAAAATTTCACTAAAACCTCTAGCCCTAAGAAAATGTTTTACCCCACTTAATTTGATCATTCTGACCATTTTAATGCCCATGATATTGATAAGTGCTTAGCTTCAATCAGAAGCTGAGATATTTTGTAATGAGTGTGCATCAATCGCTACTCGCAAGAGTGTAAAAATATGTTTTAACCTAATAATTCAACACCCTGAAGTCTGAAGACTTTGAAATCACGCTCTACCCCACACGATGTGATGATTCTGACCATTTCAATGCCCAAGATGAGCGTTTAACTCCAATCAGAAGAAGATATTATCTTGAATTAAGTGCGTCAATTGCTACTCGCGAGAGCGTAAAAATGTGGTCTGACCGACTGACCTAATAACTCAACAACCTGAAATCTCAAGAGTTTAAAACTATGCTTTACCCCACTCTGCATATTAGTTGTAAGTAGAAGAAGCGTGGCCTGTACTCCGTAGCTGTTTAACCAATGAAATGATATAATCGCAACTCAGTTCAATACAAAGTGGTGATACTCGTTTACGTGCTTGGGATACACAATATCAATTATTGTACCATTACTTCAATACCTTCTAACATCTTTAAAGTGATCATCAGGAGCAATCGTGAAGATCATCAAAACAATGGTGGAGGTCACGACCCAGACTTCATTGTTATTTTCAGTGTGTTTATTGTAACAAGTCTTCAATAATTTAATATTGTTTCTGCAGCATTTCCCTGTTGTAGCATTTTTATATTCGACCTTATTTCTGATTCACACACAAATACGGAATAAAAAATTTTAACAATTAAAAGTAATTTAATATTACCCATCATTGGTATAGTTGGACTTTTTATTTTTAGGGATGGACGATAAGTTTTAACGAACTCAACCAAACTATTAATTCGGGCTCTTGAAGTTGAATTATCATCTTTTTCACTTAACAGTAACTAAAGGTAAAATCCTGTATCCATGTACACGAATTGTACCACGTTTATTTTTAAGTTTTACATCATACATATAAATTACCAATGATAATGTTATTTTACAAATCTTATATCCTTATAGCATTTAGAAGGCAAGAATTTTACGAGATACAGTTTTTGAAGGATATTGGCATGGTAAGTCAAATTTGTGTTTCATTCAGTTAATTAACTATTAAATTTTCCCCTTATCCAAATACTGAGACTTATAATTATATCATTTTGAGTATGCAACTTTTTACAGAGAAAGGTATTGGTTACACTGTGTATGCTGCTTGCAGTTGTTGCAGCTAACGGTGGGGATGCATCAGACGCAAATGGGCGCATATTCTACGGCGATGACGCAACGGAGGGAGAGTTTCCTTTTATGGTAAGTCGTTTTACCTTGCAAGTCCAGCATTTAAAAAACAAAATTCTGGCGGATTCAATGGTTCTACACAAATTTTGAGGAGTTTGATTTCTACAAACTTTGCAGGAGCCAGCAATGATCTACATGGACCTTTTCGTATTTCAAATTTGGCACCCCTTTAATTAACCTTTGTGCAGTGTCAGCTGAACAGGGCATTACATTAACATGAACGCGAGTACAGTAATTAGTCACTTGTTGCTACAACACAATGCTGTTGCTACAGTTGGTCCTACAACACAATGACAACATAAAAACTGCACATAATATCCAAATATCACATGTTTGATTCATTATGTTTAATATGTTTAATTAACTTTCAGGTCCGTCTCCGTTCTAACGGATACACCTGTGGAGGATCTCTGATATCTAAAAAGGTGGTCCTAACGGCCGCACATTGCGTCGTAATGGGAGGTAATAGGGGAGAGGAGCCATTTGGGCCTCACATGATATATATCGGTGTCGGAGACCACAAATGGAGCAGTTGGGACAAGAATGAGCGGTGGATATCCGTTAGCAGGGTCATTGTACATCCAGGCTACGATAACGATGTGCTTTCAAATGACATAGCCCTGTTGGTATTAACAAGAAGTATTGACGAAGAAGTGCAAAGCACAATTGAGCTGCCACCAACCTCAGGACCCCTTAAAGAAAGCCTCTACGCTGTTGATGCTCCAATAACTCTGATCGGCTGGGGAGCAGACGAAACAGACCGACTCTCAGAAACCCTGCAGAAGCTGACCTATAATGTAGCGGACCTAGAGGAGTGTAAAGAGTATTACACAACAGGTGAATTCGAAGGCTTGGAGTGGCCAGGAGGGATCATGTGCACTGGGATTAAAGGTAAGCCCAACACAAAACACGCATGGGGTGGGGACTCAGGCGGACCTCTGTTCCATACTTTTGAAGGGAAGACCTATGTGCTGGGATTGGTCAGTTTCGGGACCTGGGAGCCTGATCCCGACGCATTTGGTGCCAACACTGATGTGTCTTATCATGTGGATTGGATCAAAAAAGTCATGTCGAGTATTGACCATGATTCGGAAGAGGAGGAAGATAAGTTCCCATCGGGACACCGTGAAATCACTTTAAAAGGAGGGCTCAAGGAAAACCAGGGTATTGTGTTTGTAAGCCACAAAGACTTTATAAACCCGTTACCCCGACCAGTTTGCTCTGACGGATTTGGACACAATGAAGCAACCATGATCTGCCGAAATCTTGGTTACAAACATGGCAAAGCTATACCCTCCTGGATGTTTGGACTCATAGACTGGGATATGGAGGGCTATGGGTACACCAACGTTCAATGTCCTCAATATCAAAATGAGGGGGACGACTTCTTCGGAAGCTGTAAGCAGGAATTATATGATCCGAGTAAAGCAAGTATTCTTCCTTGCTTTACGGGAGACCAAGCTGCTGTTTCTTGTTCAGAAAGTGTTGTTGAAATGCGAGTTGAAATGGTTAAAATTAAGGTAGGGTCGATAAATAAAGGAAAGGGCCTTAAGATGAACACAAGATGCTCAGCTGTCCTGGAAAAATACGGACAACCAGTCCATGGGCTTGGAAGAATGGCCACTGCATCAATCGTGAATATCATGGTAAACGGCACAATTGAAAGAATTGATCGAGGAATGAAATATAAACGCAACAAAGGAGTCTTCCTCGGCACGTTCAAGACCCAGATGTTGGAGAGAAAAGAAAGTTGTTTAGCATGCGTTGTTTACCTTGACTATGCAGATCTCGGATTTGGGTTTAAGATCGATCAAGAACAGTGTGGATACGAATCTGAAAAAGCTGAAAAATGGTTGGAAATCTGGGCCGGGAAGAACGATAAGGAAGAGAACTCCGATGATTATGAAAATGACAAGGAAACCCCAAATAATATAAGCTAGATTAGTAATTGCAGACTTCATACTTGTTTTCTGGACTCGGCACTTACGCCTTTAAGATTATTTAGAAAATTTATCACAGTCAATTTTAGAACATACTATTACTTACTCATATGATATTATAACAATATGTTGACTTACATGATCATCACTCATCATAGCATTTGTTGGAAAATTTAATTTAGCTTTACTTTCATATGATATGTTTGCTTTCTTCCAAAATGAAAACCAATTAATTATGAATTAGCATGTTTATTTATTTTACTGAATCAATAATACTAAATTGATGATATAATACATGTAGGAGAGCTCAGCACGGTTAAGTTTTTTAAGTGTTACTTACACGTTTCATTCGAATCATTCAGGAGGGATCAAATTCAACAAGTATGATACTGTTGATGAATTTTACGAAACTTTCAGAGAATCTTAGTTTGAAACATGTTTGTAATTTTTGAAATCTTAGTTTAATTCTGATACGAATTACGTAATTGTTGTTCAAGGGTTACAAGTGGGCAGCTACTTATGGGCCACCTTGTACAATGTCACTCCCTTTAAGTGCGATTAAGACAATAATCAATAATCAAACGATTGTCGCATAAGCTCGTTCGTTTGATTATTGCGCTAACGTCACCTTTGGTGTTTTTAGCCACGGAATTACGTTATAAGATCGGGTAACTCGCCATAATTTTATTACCAGTTAAGTTAAGTTAAGTTGTGGTGTCTCAGATCAAAACGATGCCTCATTGCTAATCTTAATTTTTATTGTAACTATTATAAAGGATCGTTTATTATAACGCGAACCAAATTTTGGGTAATTTTATAGTTTAGCCACTTCACACTTACAGTTACACTGTAAGTGTATAACTATAAGCCACTTCACACATTGCTTCAGCTTCTGTGTACAAATTATACTAGCATATAAAAATTTTCCGAACTGAGTTCGGCGAACTCCTCCCCTAGGTATGTTAACGATCCTTATATATTAAGACCATTATTGGCTCCCAAATCTTAATAAACATATTCTTATTAATATCAATGCTTAATTTACTGGGCGGCGCTCAGCCTATCATTCCGCCGAATCTCATTATTTGTGAACATTATGGCCTTGGGTCCCCGGGTAATGCTTAATGTTCAATGGTCATGCTTATTTGATCTAATTTTAAGAAGAGGACAATAAAATCCCATATTAATGAGGATATAAAGTTAATACTTCCCAGTACTACCACAAACTTAGCAATATTAAACTATATATTCTACAGAAAGACACAAAATTTCGACATATATTAATATCGGAAAGAAAAATGACCACAGCCTTCATCACGCAGAGTTGTTAATTAACTTCAAATATTGCAGCTATCGAACCGTCGTCATTCTTTTTTTTCTCGTCATCGTTACACCACGTGATTTAAAGTAATACTATAGTATAAAAAGCGAGTCACTCAGCAGTTTAATGTTACTTAACTTATATCTTTGTAAGCCTGGATATTAGAGTTCTACTTGAGAATTTCAGAGACATGGTTGGTTTCCGTGTTTTATCTGCCCTTATATTGGTCTTTGGATTGGTGGCGACTTCTTACTCAGCTGAGAGGTAAAGTTTGAAACTGACGAATTAATTTATTTAAGTAAGAATAATGATATATCATTAGGAATTTAACGATTCGTCCGCTTATTATTACACTAACCAGTAACCACTTACCACATGTTACAAAAGTACACAAATCAGTAATTAAATTTAGAACTATTTCTGTTGGATGTTGTAGTGGTGTATGTGTGTGTGTGAAAACGACATAATTGACAATTCAGTTGTTTTAACAATCTGATAACACCCTCAGTGATATGAACAGTGCAGAAGAACCAAGAATCGCCAACAATGCAGTGGAGCTGGCCATGAGCGATCCGGCGGGAAACATGAATCAGGACAAAGGTGCATATTCTTTATATGTTAGAAGTCAAATTGTCCGAGATCTAAAATTATACATTATATTAATGATTAAGGGAAGTGCTTCCCCTTACAATTAAACTTATCCAATCCCAGGTCATCCAAGGAGCCTGTCTGCCAGTCAGAACTGGGGGCTCATGGGCGAGAGGGAGGACTGAACAATTACCACTTGGGACTGGGATAGCCGTTGACGTCTGTTCCGTGATATCTGCCACTAATTGCAACAACTTGGCATTTTTGTTTTTCACAGCTTTCTAAATTTTGCTCTAGGAGTTATGTCCGTATAAACAATTATTTGTTTTCTGCATCTTCAAAGAAAACTCGTCATTTTTATTCTTCTCAACAGAAATTCTTATTTAGAAAACTTGATTCGAAATAAAAATCAAATACACAGTTGGTTGCATTAAAATTTAATAACATCTTTAAATCCAAAACTAAAATGATGAATCGATGAATTTGGTCAACTGATAAAAAGTGCGATTGTCATAAGCACCAAAACTCTAAAAGAACGATGATAACTCCGGACAGCTGTAGGTTGCTGGATTATAAGACTTGGTATGTGATAATGAAATAGCTCAAATGCCAAGGTAACTGGTAATTCATAGGAAAATGAATCGTTGTTTATTTAATCGCGCGTAGGACACTTTCAACTTGAACGTTATATCAATAAACATATGAAAAGTACATAATTCTGAAAATCTATTCTAAACAATAACAATATGGATTACGAATGTACACCACGTGTGTAACACCACGTGTGTAATCATGTATCATATTTACACCCAGATCAAACACACAAAGGTATGTTTTGACGATTATATATTCACATGAGTAGCTAAGCAAACAAATCGAAGCACAAAAATTGGATCAAACGTTTATAAAAAAAACAGAGATATGGTATGAAAATCATGAAGTTTAAAGTCATTTCTAGAAATTACTCTACAGATGGGTGCTCGGCAAATAAATGTGGAAACACATCATCAACTTGTACTGGTTACATCCGACCACCTTAATACGGGTGGACCATAATTAACTTTATCTTAAAACCGTTATGCGATTCCTGTTAAAAGCAGATCAACTAGAAATCACATTCAAAACAAGAAATAAAGTTAATCCTGATCCATCCTTAATTACTAACACAACTCATTGTTACACGCTAGTTTACCATCATTGATTAGTCTACAGCTGTATCGAGTTCTACACTTTCCCGATTTAAAGGCCGCGGCTAAAAGATTTGCCAAATCGTGCCTTATAAAAAGCTAAAACTGGGGTGATTTTAGCCTCATAACTATAAGGCATCACAACTACGTGATCCGTACAGCCGCGATCAATAGTCCATCTGTTCTTCTCTCAACCACACGAACACCCGACCCTAAAACTCTGGGGCTCAATCTGTTTATCAGGATGTCTGGTGATTTTTCAGTGGAGAGAACTTATGTTGCCGTATTCTGATTGGCAATTCTCTGCCGCTGCCTTTTCCTTAGCCTGTGAAGATTTCCATATCATAACCAATTTTGCAGCACATTTTCGTTGTGAAAATCTCTAGTGGTGTGATTCCAACCACATTAGTAGATTAGAAAATAGTAGGCCGCTAAATTCAAGAAGGATATATTCTCAGCACAACGAGTTCATAATATTAAATCTAAAAATGTATTGAACTTATCTAATAAAAAACAAGAAACTCACTCTATAATACTCCATATAACGTAACAGAGCATCGTAGATAAACTTATACTGGGCAGCAGTCTGGACCATACCACTTCGCTTCTCCCTGATCTGTCAGATCATCATGATTAGTTTTAACATTAAAACTAACATTATAGATACACTTCCTTAGAAAGTTAACATAAGAAACTTCATAACATTCAGAAATTCCAAACAACAACCACAATTGCCTAACAAGTGGGCAGAGATATGATTTAGCTCATACCTGACTGATGGACCTCTGAACGTCTACATCAACACATATTCCGTATTTATCGATTAGGTTTATCAGACAATCCAGCACGATTACTGTTCCTGTTCTGCCGATACCTGAAATTTAGAGTTCATTCGAATTAGATGATCAGAGGAAAAGAACATCTGAATATTTCTAGAAACTATACGCGCGGTACGTTTTAGATGGCAAACCTGGCGTGATAGAATGAACATGTAAATAATATAAATAAATAAATTTGTTGCATGAATGTTAAGCGCGAAAATAGGAACACTTTTAAATGGATTATGTCGCCGCGCGCTACATTCTACAACATTAAAATTCATTCTGGTGAAGGACTTTCGACAAATCTGTTCCAAATAAAAAGATCGAAAATCGAGTGTTTTAGTGAATATCTTAGAATATAATTTTGATTTTCTCAAGATCTGACTGATAGATTTTCTTTAAACTTTCCAGATAGTTAGATGGCTATATGACAGATAATGTGTAAGAGTTTGGGAGAATTTCTATATGCCAAAATGGAGATATGACTTCAACCACAAGAAAATATCTCCAAATTGGCGGGTTCTAGCGGAACACAGGTATATATTTAGAGATCTGAATGATAGATTTTCTTTAAACTTTCCAGATAGTTGTATGGCTATCAGACGGATAATCTGTGCGATTTTGGGTGAGTTTCTATCTTTCTATGTGGTAAACTTGAGATATGACTTCAAACACAAGAGAATATCTCCAAATTGGCGGGTTCTAGCGGAACACAGGCACATATTTCGAGATCCTACTGATAAATTTTCTTTAAACTTTCCAGATAGTTGTATGGCTATGAGACGGATAATCTGAGCAAGTTTGGGCGAATTTCTATGTGCCAAACTTTAGATATGACTTCAAACACAAGAGAATATCTCCAAATTGGCGGGTTCTAGCGGAACACAGGTATATATTTAGAGATCTGAATGATAGATTTTCTTTAAACTTTCCAGATAGTTGTATGGCTATCAGACGGATGATCTGTGCGATTTTGGGTGAATTTCTATGTGCCAAACCTGAGATATGACTTCAAACACAAGAAAATATCTCAAAATGGCGGTTTCTAGCGGAACGCAGGCACATATTTCGAGATCCTACTGATAAATTTTCTTTAAACTTTCCAGATAGTTGTATGGCTATGAGACGGATAATCTGAGCAAGTTTGGGCGAATTTCTATGTGCCAAACCTGAGATATGACTTCAAACACAAGAAAATATCTCAAAATGGCGGTTTCTAGCGGAACGCAGGCACATATTTCGAGATCCTACTGATAAATTTTCTTTAAACTTTCCAGATAGTTGTATGGCTATCAGACGGATAATCTGTGCGATTTTGGGTGAGTTTCTATCTTTCTATGTGGTAAACTTGAGATATGACTTCAAACACAAGAGAATATCTCCAAATTGGCGGGTTCTAGCGGAACACAGGCACATATTTCGAGATCCTACTGATAAATTTTCTTTAAACTTTCCAGATAGTTGTATGGCTATGAGACGGATAATCTGAGCAAGTTTGGGCGAATTTCTATGTGCCAAACTTTAGATATGACTTCAAACACAAGAGAATATCTCCAAATTGGCGGGTTCTAGCGGAACACAGGTATATATTTAGAGATCTGAATGATAGATTTTCTTTAAACTTTCCAGATAGTTGTATGGCTATCAGACGGATGATCTGTGCGATTTTGGGTGAGTTTCTATGTGGTAAACTTGAGATATGACTTCAAACACAAGAGAATATCTCCAAATTGGCGGGTTCTAGCGGAACACAGGCACATATTTCGAGATCCTACTGATAAATTTTCTTTAAACTTTCCAGATAGTTGTATGGCTATGAGACGGACAATCTGAGCAAGTTTGGGCGAATTTCTATGTGCCAAACTTGAGATATGACTTCAAACACAAGAGAATATCTCCAAATTGGCGGGTTCTAGCGGAACACAGGCACATATTTCGAGATCCTACTGATAAATTTTCTTTAAACTTTCCAGATAGTTGTATGGCTATGAGACGTATAATCTGAGCAAGTTTGGGCGAATTTCTATGTGCCAAACTCGAGATATGACTTCAAACACAAGAAAATATCTCAAATTGGCGCGTTCTAGCAGAACGCAGGCACATATTTCGAGATCCTACTGATAAATTTTCTTTAAACTTTCCAGATAGTTTCATGGCTATAAGACGGATAATCTGAGCAAGTTTGGGCGAATTTCTATGTGCCAAACTTGAGATATGACTTCAAACACAAGAAAATATCTCAAATTGGCGCGTTCTAGCGGAACGCAGGCACATATTTCGAGATCCTACTGACAAATTTTCTTTAAACTTTCCAGATAGTTGTATGGCTATGAGACAGATGATCTGAGCAAGTTTGGGCGAATTTCTATGTTCCAAACTTGAGATATGACTTCAAACACAAGAAAATATCTCCAAATTGAGATATTTTCTTGTGTTTGAAGTCATATCTCAGGTTTGGCACATAGAAATTCGCCCAAAATCGCACAGAATATCCGTCTCATAGCCATACAACTATCTGGAAAGTTTAAAGAAAATTTATCAGTAGGATCTCGAAATATGTGCCTGCGTTCCGCTAGAAACCGCCATTTTGAGATATTTTCTTGTGTTTGAAGTCATATCTCAGGTTTGGCACATAGAAATTCGCCCAAAATCGCACATAATATCCGTCTCATAGCCATACAACTATCTGGAAAGTTTAAAGAAAATTTATCAGTAGGATCTCGAAATATGTGCCTGCGTTCCGCTAGAACGCGCCAATTTGAGATATTTTCTTGTGTTTGAAGTCATATCTCAGGTTTGGCACATAGAAATTCGCCCAAAATTGCACATAATATCCGTCTCATAGCCATACAACTATCTGGAAAGTTTAAAGAAAATTTATCAGTAGGATCTCGAAATATGTGCCTGCGTTCCGCTAGAAACCGCCATTTTGAGATATTTTCTTGTGTTTGAAGTCATATCTCAGGTTTGGCACATAGAAATTCGCCCAAAATCGCACAGAATATCCGTCTCATAGCCATACAACTATCTGGAAAATTTGAAGAAAATTTATCAGTAGGATCTCGAAATAATCGACTTTCGTCAAATATCGTTCCGAAACCGCCAATTTGAGATGTTTTCATGAGTTTGAAGTCATATCTCAATTTTGGCACATAGAAATTCGCCCAAACTTGCTCAGATTATCCGTCTCACAGTCATACAACTATCTGGAAAGTTTAAAGAAAATTTATCAGTAGGATCTCGAAATATGTGCTTGCGTTCCGCTAGAAACCGCCATTTTGAGATATTTTCTTGTGTTTGAAGTCATATCTCAGGTTTGGCACATAGAAATTCGCCCAAAATCGCACAGAATATCCGTCTCATAGCCATACAACTATCTGGAAAATTTGAAGAAAATTTATCAGTAGGATCTCGAAATATGTGCCTGCGTTCCGCTAGAACGCGCCAATTTGAGATATTTTCTTGTGTTTGAAGTCATATCTCAGGTTTGGCACATAGAAATTCGCCCAAAATCGCACATAATATCCGTCTCACAGCCATACAACTATCTGGAAAGTTTAAAGAAAATTTATCAGTAGGATCTCGAAATATGTGCCTGCGTTCCGCTAGAACGCGCCAATTTGAGATATTTTCTTGTGTTTGAAGTCATATCTCAGGTTTGGCACATAGAAATTCGCCCAAAATCGCACATAATATCCGTCTCACAGCCATACAACTATCTGGAAAGTTTAAAGAAAATTTATCAGTAGGATCTCGAAATATGTGCCTGCGTTCCGCTAGAAACCGCCATTTTGAGATATTTTCTTGTGTTTGAAGTCATATCTCAGGTTTGGCACATAGAAATTCGCCCAAAATCGCACAGAATATCCGTCTCATAGCCATACAACTATCTGGAAAGTTTAAAGAAAATTTATCAGTAGGATCTCAAGATAATCGACTTTCGTCAAATATTGTTCCGCGGAACAAATGGAACAGAAAGTCCAACTCTCATTCTGTTTAGTTATGATTTAGAAGTCTCGAAGTCTAAATACTTCTCGGTATAAAACAAGAAGTGCAACTTACCCGCACTACAATGCACAATAATAGGAGGTCTATGTTTGTGTCTACTCTCGTGAATATCAAGTTCTCTGCCAATGTTATTGATTCCGTCGATACAGGGCGCCGGGTCTTTGGGTACGCCATGATCCGGCCATGCTACATATTGGTAATGTAACAGCGATCTCTTGTCTCTCGGCTGAACAATCGGGGAGTCAACACTCCAATAAGTACTCCCAAAAGGAGCAAAACTCTATTATTTCTAACGTTAGCTTTTTTTTCGGATGAGGGTGACCCGGAAGTAAAATAGATAGTCACTGAAAAATAATAAAATCTATGTATAGTCTTAGAAATAAGTTGATAACATATCAGTCTAACCTGTTTGATATGTGTAATAGTCATTCTCCTGATGATGAAGGTATCATCGTGTGTTTCACTGTCCAACTTGACGGTAATGTTGCCGTATGTATCTGGTTCAGCTGTGTTGGTGGGCCAATATCTGTAACACTTGTTCTTTCCACGCTCCACCTAATTTTACAGTTACTCTTAGTGGATAATTATAAATAAATAGTTAAATGAATAAATTAGTGAATAAGTTAATGATTGAATAAAGAACTAAAGAAATAAACACATACATGAATTTAAAAATAGACTCTTAACATAAATAGATTCTTAACATCATGTGCATTAGTAGCTCATTTAAATGTTAACGAGAAAACTGAATATTATATTATGTAAACTAATCAGATTCAAAACATGTGACAAACAAATGAAGCCCAGATCTAATAAATCGAATCTCATACCTCTTTGGTAACCATGAAAATTACGATAGCCTTTGTCTCCCAAACCATTTGCCAGAAGTCCTTTGCAGTTGTGCTCAATGTACCCTGTGTCGCTATATACCTAGAAATAAGGAATTTATACATTTTTTAAATCTATTTTTAGTTCGACAACTAGTCACAAAAGGAATGGTTATTGATTACTAGTAACCTGTGATTGGTATGGAACATTGGTGATATAAAACAGACAACTATTATTGTTTGACACATCCTAATGTAGTTCTTTCATTCAAATTTCTGATTGTTTCCTAATGCATCCTAATGTATAAAGTAAGTAATTATCAGTTATCACTATCACCACAATTCGCATATTCAAACCAATTGTAATCACGCTAATAGTGCTTATTAATAATACTTGATACTTAATTAATAATAGTATTTAACCGTTAAAATATAATAATTTGCTTACGTATTAGGGTTATCAGGAATTCTAACCCAATTAGCATTAATGTAATCACTTCCGTCTTCCTCTTTCCCAATCTGGAGTTTAACTCGACTCTCGTCGTACGGCAAAATGTTCTTGTAACGGTTCTTGGCTTTGTTTTCGACTCTTTGTCCTTGCTTGCGGTCTTTGGTTTGCCTCATCTCCTACAAAGATATGAGATAAATAATGGGAGCTAACAACTTAACAATTATGCCCTAAGAGAGCCAACCTTAGAGATCTTAGTTCTACAATCTTACTTTTTCATGAAATCTTACTATATATAAAGCGAGACGATATATGTTTATCCGTGCCATTTTACTGACACCACGGCATCAACTTTAACGCTACTTTCCGCAAAAACCGTAAAATATATACAACTGAAACTTTTTTGACTGGGCCAAATGCTTTGATGGCCTCCAAATCAGCATGAAAAAATAAAAATTGGCCAAGAAATAGAAGTTTTAGAGCCCCAAATTTGGACCCCCAAGTGGTGTCAAAAACGCGAATTAAATAGATAATAATTATTTTAGTCTCTTGAGTCTTGACATCATTTTAGGGTTATACGGGTTCCTGCTAGTAAACTTTAATTCGGACAAATATTCAAGACCACCACACTTTCAAAGGAATAACCTGCTGCTGTAAATACTCGAACTCCTCAGTAAAACCATCTTTCTTCTTCTCCCCGACTCCGGAACTCTCCAGCGCGTCCTTACGCTTCTTAAAGGAGGAGAGATTGACACGGGTAGAGTTGAGCGCAGTGGTTAGAGACACCACCACCCCACTGTTATCCACCATGCTCCACTTCTTGTAGTGTTCTATCAGCGCTTCCAGAGACACAAACTTCTCACCACCTGGTAATTAGGGTGTTAATTAGGGTGTTAATTAGGGTGTTAATTAGGGTGTTAATTATGGCGTTAATTAGGGTGTTAAATAGGGTGTTAAATACTCCAAGTAATGGGGTTGAAGGGTTTGGTGACATCTTCTAAGAAGTAATGGAATTATGTAAATATGCAGTGTAAAGTATGAAGCAGTACCAATAATAATGAAAGGTTTAACACTGTAACACACCTTGTAAGTGGTACTTATTCTCGGTGCAGTGAACCATGATATGAAACACATCCTGCTTCACCAGCGCCGAGATCACGTATGAGCCCATCTTGGAGGCGCTGCGTCGCACCAGGAAACTGCCGTCTGCCTTGGAATCTTGGAGGAGCTTCTCCGCCTGGACACTAGAAATACTGCCGTGGAACCACCGCTCCTGGGAAGAGATTGACGTTTGGTGGTAGCCACTAATCGAGAGTAAAAACTTAGGGCGTGGCGACGGTTATGTTTTACAGGACCGAGCCACTAAGTTGATGTATGTTTTCGTAAATTTGTGTCTCCTTTGATCTAAAAAAAGGAGGTGCAATGAATATCAGACGTTGAGGTGATGATATTAAAGATGGAATTTAACGTCAGTTTATCGTGCACTGATTGACTGGCTTCCTCCTTCATGGTCAGCATTTGTAATGATTATACTTCAATCTACATATTGTTGCAAGTATTTAAGAGCTGGTTAATGTGACCCGACAGTGTCAGATGTAAGGTTTTGTAGGTATTTTAGATAAATGGCAACCAGCAGTGAGTATTAAATCACATCCTTTAATATACGTGCGAAAACCTAGATGTAATTTATAGTAGGCCTCCCTGGAATTCAGCAATTAAAGTTTAGAACAAGATATTATGATTTTCAGTGGTCAAGATCAATGTTAGCGATCCCCAAATCGTATTACTGATGTAGAAGGCGATCATAATTATATTGTGTATGAACATACCTAAGTACATACTTCATACATACCATTCTATAAGACATAATATGTACATTCACTACATACCCTACTATAAAATTCAGGCACATACCTCAGTTGGCTCGTCAAAGTTTAGTGGGTATCTCAGATGAATCCAATCCCCGTTTTTCTCCTTCAACTCGTTAGGATTCTTGTAGAAATAAGACACAAGATCTGACAAGCTAGCAAACTTCTCCCCGATGGAGGGGTCGTAGTAGTCTCCGTGGTTCAGGATCTTAATGTTGGTCATGGCGTTGTTCCTCCACACTGATAACACGAAGTCTCTGTAGATATATGAGGGTGAGGTTAATTTTTATCTAGACACTTATTTTACTTCGGTGTATTCCAACAGCCACAATGTTACACAAGTGCAACCAGCCAATTACAGGAAGCCGAAGGATCTTTTTGGCCAGTGACGGTTAAGGTAGTGTGTACCATACTTTCTTTGTCCGAGACTTTGCTGCAATGTGCAGCTCCTCATTTAACCCTCACACCCGATTTCTCGAGTATTCGGCTGAGTAGACCGGGGGGCTGCATAGACCACTCATGATCCTTAGCTGAACGTCGACGACGCTCACCCCACGACCAGGCAGTCAGTGGGTTTCGAACTCGCAACCTAACGATTGTAAGACAGGCGTTCTAACCAACTGCGCTACCTGGCCGCTAATGTGTTGAGATTATTATAAAGGAGTTATTTGTACGTGGTATAAAGACATTTCTTTATGTAGGGTAGTGTAGTGGGTAACGTATAGTAAGTAGTGGGATCAATAAGTTCATAAAACAATCATGATCCTCTTTTAGATAGAGGCGCTGTCTTGTCTAGCACTACTGGCCATTGTAAAGAACCAATTCATTCGGGTCGTATCAAAAAATATATATTAGCGACTGAGACAATTGTAGTTTCAAAACTTCTAAACAATAATTACCACAAAGCAGCTTACGAAGGATTAGATTTGGACACTCTGACCCCCAACACTTACGAAGGATTAGATTTGGACACTCTGACCCCCAACACTTACGAAGGATTAGATTTGGACACTCTGACCCCCAACACTTACGAAGGATTAGATTTGGACACTCTGACCCCCAACACTTACGAAGGATTAGATTTGGACACTATGACCCCCAACACTTACGAAGGATTAGATTTGGACACTCTGACCCCGAAGACCCCATCTTTTCCCGCGTATTCCTCCCCCTTCATCTTGGCTTCCATCTCCACTGAACTAATGTACGGACTGAACCATCTTGAGGACATGAAGATGTCATTGTCAGCCATACTTGCGACGTGGTTGGCAACTTGTTAACGTAGATTCATCATGTCATGGACTAGTAATTGGGAATCTGTTACAATAAGTGTTAACTGATTAATTAACTGATTAATAAACTAATGGTATAATTAGTTAGATTTATAAGAGGTTCAGCTTCATGATATTGTTTCAATTCATAAATTAATGTAAACTTGTATTATACTATTATATATTTATTATTTATGCGGATGTTGAACTGAAATAATATCTTTAAAGTTTGAATAATAGCATGGTATACTTTGAAAGTGTAAACAGTCTTATCAAACAACGTTCAATATCATCTAAATCAATAAATATTTCACATTTCACAGTGTTTTAGTTTTTACTGTCTCGCAAACAAGTTGGAAAAATTTAGCAATTTATCTAACACAAATATTCCAAATCAAAATAAATCTCAGTACTGTAGTTAAAACATTTATTGTAGACCAATCTCTTGAAAATCATCGATACAAGGCCCGAATTCCGAAAAAAACATACTCAACAAGATAGAAACATAAAAATCAAACCCGAATAGCCAAAAAAAACTCCAATGTCACAACCGCACTGTAAAGAATTTTTCTGGAAAATAAAACCGTAAAACTTGGGAACTGACGGAGATGGTAAAAGCCCCATAAAAAAGACGCGAAGCTGCACAATGATACAAGTGTTGAGCGACCCATAAAGAACAACCCAGACAGAGCTACCCAAACTTTGACAGACAACTTTAAAACAAATTTTACTAACGTCATTTTTACCAATCACCAGTGAAACCAGGAACTTATCTTAGAAGCAACAAACGTGATGGGAAACGGGGGAGCATCCAACCAATGCAAATTCCTCCCATTCCGGGGATGTTTTGCTGAGAGAGAGAGAGAGAGAGAGAGCAAGATAAATAAATAGGATTCCGAACATTACTAGGTCATCCTATAGTGTAACAGGCTGTGTGGATGATACGGGTTACAGTAGTGACAACACTAGGATAACTACATCGCGGAGTTAAAATAGTTGTAACATTACCACCACACGGTTTGTTTGTAAGTTGTCTGTCTGTAGCCACTACACTAAACTATGCAGCATATTTCTCATTCCTTTCTGAATATTCTGCTGTTAAACTGTTAAAACACGAACCATTTGGCGACAGGTGCTTCGTATAAAGTGACGTATGCAAATTAGTGCAAGCCCTTGAAGTGGGTGAGCACAGGTTTGCGAAGAACCGAGGTGTAGTTTAGTGCTGCAGTTGCTGTTGACAAAATTAATGTTATATCTTATATATCCTGTTTAATTACTGTCGGTGGAGATGGTGAACCAGTCAGAGTATAACTTAAAAGCTAAAATATTATTTAAAAGTTATCTAGACTTGAACACGTGATAATAACAACGTTACAATCATCACTACCAATAAGTAAGCAGTATGAAATTCTACAAGATATCTGAAACTAGAACCGTCAAGTAAAATTAGAAATCAATCTGCAGAACACATCAAAGAACGCTGAAGCTAAAGAATTTGTAACTAGAGAATTTGTAACTAGAGAATTTGTAACTGCAACTCTCTCTCTCTAGCTCTCTCTCTCTCTCTCTCTCTCTCTCTCTAGGTCTTGTCAAAGAGAGAGAGATGAGTGCCCTAAGTCAGTTGAGGTAACTCGTAACACGACACTTGTATTATTTCGTAAACTTGCTGTTGAGTATTAGAGTTTATAGTGACACGCTAGCGGCTACTGTAGCTAGGTTATGTGATATAACCTAGCTACAGCAGCCGCTGTTTTTATCTAGGGTTTATCCTCAGCACTATTGGACTTGACGAGTTATTTTAATAATAACGTTCAAATATTATGTAAAATGTAACATTAAACTAAGATAATACTTCCATGATGAATAATCAGAGCGACGATGTTAAAATGTATATAACTTATATTGTGAAACCGGAAGCAAAATACGCAGTATCGTGCCAGGAACCAAGAAAATGGAGCCAGATTTAATGCGGAATATTAATGGAAAGACTGAAGTTTCCAAACTGTGTGTAGTATTATGTGGGTAGATAAGAACACTTTTCACCCGACACACGCCATTTCTTGGAAACAGGAAGGTTGTCTAGTTTTTAGGAAACCAAAGTACAATGTAAAATCCGGATTGGAGTATTGTTTATGAGTCGCATGGTTGCAATGTATTCTTGTGTAAATTTGTATTGATCCCGTTTGATGCGACAAGGAAAAATGCTCTTATCAGATCATGAATACGATGTTGTAACATTGAACCGTTGAGTAAATTCCTTTGTCTGATAAGAGAATTTTTCCTTGTCGCATCAAACGGGATCAATACAAATTTACACAAGAATACAAAGTACAATGTTCGTTATTATGGAGCCGACTGACGGAGTGCGTAATCATTGATTTGAAGGGTAATAATGTCCACGTTTAACAGCGCTTAGCCACGTTTAACAGCACTCAATACAACTGTGCTGCACGTTTTATTAGTCGAAAGTACCAGTAACACCCGGAGTACAAGCATTGTGCACTGCTGAGACATTATAGGTGGGGTTATAACAAAACAAAACCATGTTTCCCCTGTAACTGGTGACTCTCTTCAAACCAAGCTCATCCCGTTGAGGATAATGCCAGGTATTGTTGAATGAAAATAGTAGTAAATGTTAATATGTACGGGGGGAGGAGGGGAAGGAGGAGGGGAAGGGGGGGGGTAAACCTGGATAATAGTGGAGATGTTCTGTGATCACTTTCTACAGAACAATAATCATCACTTGTACGGTCTTATTTTCAAAAGATTTAATAAAAAAATAAAAATAAATCCCGCGTAATTAAGCCAGCTAATCTAGGCGGGAAATGCTCTACAACTCATTAAAAAGTGATTTATAAAGAGCAACAAATTCATCCACCCCGTCCTCCGGTAAAAACTCGGCGCTCTTCCGGAGTCGCTCATTGCGCGTGGAAAAGAACTTGTAGGTAGAATAAAACAGCACATTATCCCCACTATCTGCCGCAGACTGGAGGAACTTAGCGCAGTCCAACGTATCCTCCTTATTCTGCGCGCACGCGTACTGTATAGCTGCCGTCACATCGTTCTTCTGCAGCAGTGCCTCCACAATACCGCTCGTATCATTCAGCCGCTTTAACATGTCAATACCGAGCAGGAATGCAGGCTCATACGTCTTGTCAAGAGAGAGGAGGAGGCAGGCAAGAGGTGCGGAGTCACCCAGAACCTGGAACTGAACGAGCTGGTGTAGTTTGAAGAGTTGGTTACACCGGATCAGGATCTGGATTATTATCTCGTAGTAGTAGTAGCTGATGCGGAGCTTGTGGAGACGGAGAGAGCGGATGTATTCTACTATAACGGAGATCTTGTAGCTGGGGGACAGCTCTTCTTTGGTGAGGAGGGGGCTGAACACTTCTTCTAACATCTCGTCCTGTCGGGTGGGGCAGGTTAGGTAGTGTTTTGGGGTTCATGAGAGTCAGGAGGTATTTCTAGATATTATGTTATTGGAGACGTTTGCTATTGGAACTGTGAAAAGAGAGAACAAACTAATTATTAAAGGCACTTTAAATAACGCGTTAATGTTTTAAACAGCTGAAATGTTGAAATTACCACAAAACATCCAGCGCACAACACTACGAAGTTCAACAGTACCTGATTGATAAGTACATCGTCAATAACACTGTTCAAGATATCGAATATATCTCCCAGCACACTCAACGGGGTGCTCTGAGTCAAGATAAGAGAGCGCAGAGTGCTGAATATAGTGTTCTTGTAGTTCCGACGGTGGAGCAGCAGTTTTATCAACGAGGGTTTACTGCACACCATGTGCATTGATAGCTTGGAGACGGACAGTTTCAGTTCCCATAGCAACCCTGAAGAGGGGAGGTGGTTAAGTGTTGTATCAGGTATTATCCTGGGTCGGGTATGATGTGTTGGGTTTAACTGTCGCGCATTTAGCGTCGACATGTTCAGCGTGGGATACTTTGTTGTTATCCCTCTCTAGGTTCGTATTGTTATTTACTAATGACTAAATGACTATTATTATGTATTATATAGTGGTGACTAATAAAATGTCAGTTTGGAAAATTTGTCAGCTCAAAACGTGGTGTTCTTTAAAGTTTGTGTGACGTAATAACGCAATAAATAGTTTTATTTTTTCGAGGAGAAGTTGCTCAGTTGCTGTACAATAGTAATTCCAACAACAAGTAATCATGACATGCGGCACTATGTATTACAATGCTAACCATTGTATTGAGGGATTCTGTCACACAACGTGACACAAACCAACTAATTTCTGTTTTACCTTGTTTAGCGTCAATGATGATTCCAGGCTGAAATACCACCCAAGTGGAGGAATATAGCTCACAAGGTTTCTCCTCGTGGGTAAACTGACTTATACTCATTGGCTGCAGAATAGGGCGGAATGTCACTACCTGACCTGGTGAGCGGAGAACCGTTAGTTAATTACAAATCTAAGTTGTTTCTACGTTACATTTTTTTTAAAGTCAAATTTATTCTTATCCTCAGTTTTGAGGTTAAATATAATTCTCACCCTCAGTTTTGGGGTTAAATATAATTCTCACCCTCAGTTTTGAGGTTAAATATAATTCTCACCCTCAGTTTTGAGGTTAAATATAATTCTCACCCTCAGTTTTGAGGTTAAAGTCAGGAATCTAATTCTCACCCTCAGTTTTGAGGTTAAAGTTAGGAATCTAATTCTCACCCTCAGTTTTGAGATTAAAGTTAGGAATCTAATTCTCACCCTCAGTTTTGAGGTTAAAGTTAGGAATCCAATTCTCACCCTCAGTTTTGAGGTTTAAGTCAGGAATCTAATTCTCACCCTCAGTTTTGAGATTAAAGTTAGGAATCTAATTCTCACCCTCAGTTTTGAGGTTAAAGTTAGGAATCTTTAAAGCAGGAGTCCTGGTAGTAGAGAGAGGCAGAACATTATTACTCTCGTTAGAGGTGGGACTCCAGCACACATCAAACAACATGCTAGATTTAGAGTTCTGATGGTGGACTACTATCATGTTGTCAACACAGTTCAGGGCGAATCTTCCTGTGATACCTAGCTGCAGGGTAGCCACCTGGGGTGTAGTATTGTTGAACTATTAGAAGCAGAGATTTATGTTATACCTGTTGTTCAGTCGGGTGAAAAGAGCTACAACAAAATGGGTTCTAAATTAAGAGTTGGTAAAAATACCAGAAAAACACTAAAATTATAATCAATATTTTCTGTCAAACAAAACAAATATGTTTAATGATTAAAGAATGATCCGAAGGTGAATTTGTACATATAATATTACACATTAATTTAATGATAAGAAATCAAAACTTGGTCTCCTAGTACAAGGACAGCGGGTACATACCACTCTCAATAAACAATGTCATTAACAAGGTTTCTTATCAGTAAAAGAAGAACTACAAGTCAAATACACTTCCTTTTAAAATTACCATCATCACGTCAACCAATGTTGTTAGATCAAATTTATCACAGGATTACATAATGTTAACCTACTAGACGTGGATTGTTTTAATATTCTTTTTTAACTAACAAAAGCAATTACCGTTAAATTAATTTACTAGAAAAAAACTGACCTTATTGACGATTTGTTCGGTAGCCAAGACGTACAGACAAATCTCCGTGGTCTTGTAACTCTCCTGGCCGAGCTGAGGACTCTTGGTTATAGCTAGGAACAGCTTACCGTGCAGAGTTATAATGGACACTTGCCTTTCTAGGAGTTGGGAACGCTGGTTGGGTCCGGCTGGGGGTAGTTCAACCTGATATAATGGTTTGTTAGTTATAATTAGTTTAGTCATTTAATTCATTTGATGATTAGGTAGTTCATTGATTTAATTATGGTTAGGATAATCCAGATAGTATAGCTGCTGTTCATTGGAAAGTGTTTGTGTGATATTCTATATAATGGAATCCACGTTAACATTTACTAGAGTAAATATGATCGAATCAAATACCCCTACTCGAAACTCGAAAGTCGTAACTCGACAGAACAGCACATTCTCACGAGTCCCTCTCACATTTTTATTACCGCAATATTACTCTCCCCCACAAACCTATTACCTAACACACATGTACGGACGTGGAATTTGGGAGTGGTGATGACACCCCCCCCCCCCCCCCCGGCCCCCTTACTTATAGCTAACCTGGAACTTGGGCAGTCTGTGAATATTACTGGTGCCATGTTGTGGAGTCTTGAAGTAGAAAGGGTGGAGAATGTTACCACACAGAGTAGAGGACACCACCAGAACACAGAACTGGGGCGAGTACACGAACCAGTTAACGTTTATTGAGTACGATTTGATGTGACGAACTTTGCCTTGTTTTGCTGAAATGGTCAGGTTGGGGTTTGATTATTTAAAATTGTTGTTTTATTTATATAATCTGTATTACAAGGTAAGCGGTTGTGAGCTTTTTAACTACAGCTTTGTTCAGGTCTTAAAGCACAATCAATATTTGCTGAAACCCTGGGAAAACGAAGTCTTGCCTCAGACATCAGGTCATAACCGCAAGAGCAACAACAGTAATTATAGGGAAGTGCATCAGGATTACCACAGCAGTGCGCACTTACAGTGCATAGTGTACAGTGCATAGTGTACAGTGCACATTGCACAACTTACCATTAATCTGATAAAACTCAATAGCCTGATGATTGATGAAGACTATCTCGTTCTGGCAGGTCCAGTTAAATCCTATTATATTCCCTGACCCTCTTCTGCAACACTGACTGAACTCCGTATCTGGATAATATCTTGTAACATATTATTTAACATATAACATATTATTAATATTCAACATATTATTTAACATGACGTGTGAAGCTGTGAAATAAAAAGTATAGAATTGGGGACCATCGTCATTTTCACTGTTTCTCTAAATTTGGCATTACTTACAAAAAACCCACAACACGTTTTTTTAAATGTCACATTTATCAAACTATACAAAACACTCACTTTCCTGGATGTTAAGGAAGTCTACAGACTGGTTGCTCCTCTGCACGGCTAATATCCGGTGGTCTATAGAGTACTTGATACTGATGATGTTCACTGCGTTATCTATCGTCAGTGTGTGTTCGGTGTGATCCTTCTGTGGGGGTACAAAGTGTTGGTTAGGTAAGTAAATTCAAACCCCCGTGCTACGCGGTAGTTTTACAGTTTATCAATATTGAATATTATATAATCAAGAGTTTTTATTCACGTCGCAAGCATAATTTGTCAATATTAAAAAGTGCCGCGAATTTTGTGGTTCGTTTTTAGACTGATAATTAAGGAAAAAAAGTGCGCACCGCGGTGGAGAAAATGCAAGGTTTTTCAAGTCGAAATCACGTGACTTACTGCGTTGTAGATAGTAACGAGGTCACGTGACTTACCGCGTTGTAGATAGTAACGAGGTCACGTGACTTACCGCGTTATAGTTAGTAACGAGGTCACGTGACTTACCGCGTTATAGATAGTAAAGAAATTACGTGACTTACCGCGTTGTAGATAGTAACGAGGTCACGTGACTTACCGCGTTGTAGATAGTAACGAGGTCACGTGACTTACCGCATTGTAGATTGTAACGAGGTCACATGACTTACTGCGTTGTAGATAGTAACGAGGTCACGTGACTTACCGCATTGTAGATTGTAACGAGGTCACATGACTTACCGCGTTATAGTTAGTAACGAGGTCACGTGACTTACCGCGTTATAGATAGTAAAGAAATTACGTGACTTACCGCGTTGTAGATAGTAACGAGGTCACGTGACTTACCGCGTTGTAGATAGTAACGAGGTCACGTGACTTACCGCATTGTAGATTGTAACGAGGTCACATGACTTACTGCGTTGTAGATAGTAACGAGGTCACGTGACTTACCGCGTTGTAGATAGTAACGAGGTCACATGACTTACCGCATTATAGATAGTAACGAGGTCTCCCGACATGGCGAATATCTCCTGGTTAGTCTCATCGTAGAACACAGGAGTAGTCCGGGTTACCGGGGGAAACTTTACTGGGTTATCTGAGAGGTAGAGCAGCCCGCTCCCCGACATCACCTGATGTCACGTGGGTTTCTGATGACGTCACGTGGGATCCTGATGACGTCACGTGGGTTCCTGATGACGTCACGTGGGTTTCTGATCACGTCACGTGGGTTTCTGATCAGGTCACGTGGGTTTCTGATCACGTCACGTGGGGTTTTTTGAGGATGTAACGTGGAGGTTTTTGAGGATTTCACGTAACGTTAAAACGTCACCGGTTCAAGTCACGGCCGGAGACATTTTGGCTTTTCTGCATGATAGAAATTATAATAGGACTTGCCAATTAATATCAGTGTTAAAAATGTTCAAATCTCAGAACAGGATTGAACGAAAGTTGAGAGATTGAATGTTTATTTAGTGATCAACTATGAGTTAACACAATTCAATTTACCCGACGAATGTTTATAAGTACTCGTAAATGATAACTGACAACTTGAGACGGTAACTTTCATCAAATGGAATGAAAAGTGGTAAATAAAATTCAGATGGAATGTTTGGCTATAAGTACTACATCAAATTCGGAGGAAATAAATAGCTAGAAAATCCAATTATCAATAAGTTAGACATCATTTAGCTTAATTTAAATTAAATCATAGAATAATAGCAAGGTAAAAGCTCATCACAGCTTTGAAAGGAGTTCAAATGGTGCCAGCGATCCTCAAAATATAGCTATATTGCTGGCTTTGTTATAAAAACAGGCTTCGTTATCAAAAACAGGCTTCGTTATCAAAACAGGCTTCATTTCCTCTACAATTACTTCATTATGTTCAAAATAGAAGTTTAATCATACCGATTGAAATTTTGTACAAATGCTAAAATATCTGAAAACTTTATAAACTCAAATACCAAGTAGAGTCCTCAAGGACCTTAACATAAAACTAATTTCTTTAGTTAGCTAGTTAGTATGGGACCTGGTCACAGGTATTTTTCTAACTAACGATCCCGAAAAAATAAATTAATTTTCCCATCGAGTATTTCCGAATAGTTTTCAAGTATCCGAACTGTTCTTAATAACTTTAAATTAATTAGATTTATCCAGCTCTCTTATTAGCTTAGATACCGAGAACTTTCTTTACAGAGTTGACAACATTGGACTCTTTAGGGAAAGTAAGTTCCTCGAGTGATTTAGCGTAAGGGACCGGTATATCCGCTCCAGTACACCGTAATGGGCCTGAATCCAGATAGTTGAACGCTGGTCCTGAACAGATAATTACTAATTAATTAATTAATTAATAATAATTTTTTATTAATTAATTGATCAGTTGATTATCTGAATTCAGATAGTTGAACGGTGGTCCTGGACAGATAATTACTAATTAATTAATTAATTAATAATAAGTTCATTATTAATTAATTGATCAGTTGATTATCTGAAATCTGAATTCAGATAGTTGGACGCTGGTCCTGAACAGATAATTGTTAATTAATTTATTGATTAATTAGTTGCAATATTGATTAATTGATTATCTGATTATCTGATTATCTGAATTCAGATAGTTGAACGCTTGTACTGTCATTAAGATGAGGATTAAGTTTCAGTCAGAAGAAATATATATTTTTCTATTTTTAAGGTCCGAGAACTTAAAAATGTTCTCTTTTTGAGGGCTTTTTATCATATTAGGATACTTTAAATAATGTTGTTATGCTAAGTATTCACTAAAATCTTGCTACTAAAATCACGTACTTTAGGCAACATTATCTCCATCATTGACTGGTACTTCAGTCTTGTGGATTTGACAAAACAGTCATTAAAACGACAAAATAATAGACTTTTTAAGACGGACCTAAATATATCGGACCCGCTGGATTTTGTCGTTTAAAATATAAATTAAGTACGTACCCTCAATAATTCCTGCTATAATCTCACTACCCACACCACCAAAAGGCCAGCCGTACTCCACTGTGACCAAGTTGTTAGTCTTCATAACACTCTGGGTTACTGTATTCATATCCAGGGGGCGGATTGAGCGCAGGTTTACTACCTGAACAGGAGAGAGATTAGTTTAGAATCACTTTTACATTGGTTATTGTTTAAGTTGTGTTAGCTTGTTAGTTAATTGTTCTTCAGAAAATGTATTCTAATCTTCCAAGCTAATATAAATTGTTATTTATATTTTACGATGTTCATGCTAACTACCAAAAACCGAGTTTTATCACACCCTAAGAGTATAAAAGAGTATGATGCTACTCATATCGAATATCAACATTCAACATACATATTATTACTTAAAAGTTTACAAAAGTGAAATACAATCCATCACATATAATTTTGCAGGATTCAAAATACCTCACACTCGACTCCCATGCCAGCCAGCTCCTCAGCAGCCGTTAGAGCCGTTTGAACACCGATTGAGTGAGCCACTATTGTACAATGTGTTCCTGGGAGATAGAACACGTCATGTTACATATTTCATAATTACCTCTAATTATGATCACATAATTATGACGCAACGTTTATTGTTTCCTAATCGAATCATTACCTTCTCGCTCAATCTTAGCCTTGCCCAGAGGGATCTGAAAGTTAGGATCCATAGCCTCGTCGCTCATATCAAATGTGGTACCATACATAATCTCATTCTCCAAGCAGACAGAGGGGTTAGGGTCCATGATGCAGGCTTTGAGGAGACCTTTAGCGTCCTCAGCGGAGTACGGGGACACTACCTGCCGGGGAGGGGTTAAAAGTGAGGGGGCAGAGGGTGGGAGCAGAGGCAGAGAATGAGGCAGAAGGGGGCGGAGGGAGGGGACAGAGCCCAGAGGGGGGAGCAGGGGAAGAGAATGAGGCAGAAGGGGGCGGAGGGAGGGGATAGAGCACAGAGGGGGAGCAGGTAGTTTAAGCTGTTTATTGTCCACTATTATTATGTATTTTACAAAACTGGTCATTCTTGTTAATCAAGTAAATTTACTATACTTTTCAGAAATCTGCCAGGGAGGGAGGGGTTAAAGTGGGGGCAACTTTAACACGTGACCAAATCACAACAAGAGTTTGTTACCAGCATCACGGACAAAGGATAGGACAAAGAAGACACTCTCTGCCACACTCATAGAGCCTGGCAAACTCTAATCACAGGTTAGTCTGGCAGTGGCTCACACTCTGTTGATATCTCTTTAATGAGACTTGATTTGAGGCCTCTCAACTTCCCTAGTTGAGTGTGTCCCACAACCAAGCACATTGCCTAGAAGTCCTTCATTGGACATAAGTGGCGTGTAGCTCTATAAACCAAAACCAAAACCAAAATAACCAGTACCACTAATTACAAAATCTCTAAATTAATGGTCTGATTAGTAAAGCTGTAAACTATAATTAAATAGCACTTACCTTGAGTCCAGGTACACTCCCATACCACGATGCAAAACACTGGGAATGTTGGGCTCCCACCCCAGATGCAGGTCCGTTAGGTCCTCTGAAAGTTATCGGGCACTTCATCTGGGAGGAGGGGGTTAGTGTGTGATCACCTGACCAAGTCACGTGATCATTTTTCATATATTTTGTATTACAAACTCATGTTACAATAGATCGCGGCAAAAATGACAGTTGGGCTAAACGTAACAAACGAAAATCAAGGCTAAAAATACCCCACTTTTTATAAGGCATCAAGGCATGGTTGTTACCCGACAGCCAATATTTCAGCCGTGAGCTATAAACCCTACAGATGTTACCAATACGAGCCATGTAAATGTGGACTGTGACCACTTCAGAATATCATCATATATTATTATGAAATTATCCTCATAATATATCACGAAATAATGATCGACTTTTAAAATTATAACGCAGCTGAAAGTGTAACTCTACACTGTCCCCTTTACATATTATTATTAAAGTCAGCAAACCGCGCTACTAACAATCAGAATCTACAGATATCCAACACACACACACACACGTATACACTATAAAGAGTTATGAAGGAGCACCTACATTTTGTCAAAGAATATGTATTTTAAAAAGTGCTCAATCTTGAGTATTTCCTGTAGTTATAATGCAATGTACACCTCTGTGTGTGTAACATGATATGGTGTAACATGTTATTGTGTGTAGTACAGGTTTGTTACTATCCTGGTGTTATGTTAACAATAATGCAGTGTATTACATAATATTATTATTATTACGCGAGTGATTGTTGGCAGAGTGCCAACTAACCACTTAGGACTTGTCAACATTTTTAAAATAACATTGGTTATTTAAGAGTTCAGCACCAAACCTATTAAAATAACGGTAGCTACATTACTATATATATATATACAGAGGAGGACAGTTAGAATATATGCATAATTGCATACGGCACTGCAGTTATCATATTATACATAACATACCATATTAAATACATATAATAGCATACCATGGTCCATGCATAGTAATGAAACATAATATGCAACAAAACAGCTAGTTCAGATTTACAGTGAAATACACATTCTTGTAACATTTAAAGTATAAAGTTGACAATCTCTACCACAAATTAAAATGCAGTTTACAGTCTCAACCATATCATTATAATAATATAACAAAACTTAAATTGTGTTCATTAACTCCAACTAACCACTCCGGCGGACATGTAATGGGATTTAGCTGCAGAGTTAACGATGTGGTCAATAGCTTGGAGGGCAAAGTTGAACGTCATGAACTCACAGATAGGTCTCAAGCCGTTCTGAAACAGGCAACTGTATTGAATATCAATATTAATTGTTAAATAAAATATAGACTGGACTGGGGGAAGCTTGAAACTAAATATATACATTTAATAATGCCCTATACTAAATGTTGTAATTGATGTAGAATGATTTGTTAGCTTACCAGGCCTGCGCCGACAGCAAATCCAGCAAAACCCATCTGAAATGGAAGTCTAGTTGATAATAAGTTAGGAATAAAAAAGGTCAAAGAATATGAAATTAACTTTTACCACCATTTATCTGGCATCTACAATTCAGTAGATTACACAAACCTCTGTGATGGGCATGTCAATAACTCTCTTATCTCCATGCTTCCTCCACAAGCCACGCGTCACTTTGTACGCGCCATCATACTGAGCCACCTCTTCACCCATCACAAAAGCAGTCTCATCCTGCGTGATTGCTTCGTCCATGGCCATGTTAAGCGCATCTCTGACAGCTAGCTTTTGTACGAGTAGAGGCTGGGATGTGCTGATGCATCTGGAACCTACTGTCCCCAAGGACCTGGATATCCTTGATAGCATGCCTAGGTTAACTTCTGTGTTATTCTGTTATTCGGTTATTTTTATTATTCTGTTATTTTCGTATTATATATGTCACATTAATTTACTGAGTATTTATTAGCTTGGCCTGGGTTGGAATTTTCTAAGAGACTCCTCTTTGAGTTCGAGTTAGCAAATATTGATTTAACCAAATCGAATCATAATATGATTACAATAGCAGTAACCTTTGCCATCACTGTTGTTGCATCATGTGCAATTGGCATTTAATCTATGTCTAAGATTTAAATTTATAAGACTCAATCTGAATATTTTAGATGATATAAATTATACAAAATATAATTAAACAACCGAAATGACTGCACAATATAGTAAAGTTAGCTCTAATGTTGCTTATCTTATTGAATATTGATAATGGTTTTAAAGTAATATCTAATCATGCCGTATAATATTAGCAAAAGGTTTCAGTTTGCTCAATAAATCAGTCATACTAATTGCAGCTTCGCCGCTTCTCCCAAATCCAGTAAGAAGAAAAAGAAAGCATTTCACTCGTGCTCTTGATATTAATATGTAGAGTCGGGAAAAATCGTCTCTATCCAAATGCAAATTACTCTCGCTGTCCATGTACATTTCGTGTAAAGCAAAAACAACTGGCCACTCATTTGAGTAATTATTGCGAAAGTAATGAAGGCGTTTTGACCCAAAAATGTCCCGTATATCAATTGTCTTTAGACTGTGTAATATCCCTATGTCTTTGTTCTGATCAAGAATATTTGCGTTACATATTCGATCTATTTCTTTATAGACAACTTCAGAGATACCATCAGATTCTTTAAAGACATGAATGTCAATTAGAGGGCCATGGATAAAATGACCACATTCATTTGGTGGTAAGACATCAGTCAAATCAGAATTGTTTATAAATTTTAATTCATTCACACTATAATACCCTCTTACAAAGTCTCTTATTACCGATAATACGGCAGATAATTCGAAAGTATTCCTCATATTTTTGGTGAGATTCACCCACTTGCACTGCTCTTGATCTATTTTGATTTCTTCAAGTATACATAATATATGATTAATGGGTGGATAGAGAGAATATGAATATAATGAACAAACCTGCACAATATCACAGGCCACCCAGACCGTGTTTGCAAGAGATAACTGTATCAGTGTGCTGGTTAACATTGGAATATCAAAATTTTCATATCTTTCAATACCAAAATAAGACTGGTAGTCGTCAATGAACAAAGAGCAATGTTGTTGGCAGCCAACTATTTTAATAAGCCACACTTTTCTATACATTTGAATTGATGCATCATCTAATACAATAACAGCAACTTGATAAGACTGGTGACACCTGTATATAATGTCACATAAAGCAGAAGCCGCATATTGTTCATCTCGACCCTTCCAATACCAGGAGTCAGGAAATATCATCTTATACTTGATCTTAGCACTCTCAAGAAGACTCAAGTTCTGATTACAGTAGTTGTTGCAATTATCAACAAAATGGAATAATGCAATTTTATGCTTGTCGTTTGATAGGGCCAACTTTAATATCTTCCCCATAATGACAACTGATTTCCCTGTTCCTGCTGGGCCATTAATCCATAAGAACTGTTTTTCCGAGTTAAGAGCACTGAGCTGTTCCACAGTCAAGTTCTTGAGTCCAAAATGTTCTTTAATCATTGGAGGGGTCTCCGATGCAACACCAGGATTGGGATCTCGATTTTTGCTAATGAACGTAAAATCACCACCTTTGAGATATTTGTCTATGTTTGTTATTGTCTGTCCCATGCTACATTTCAGTTTATCACACTTGTTCTTTTCTGTGCACCATAATGCCAATAAAATATATGTATCTCTCAGAGGACTTTGAGTAGTCTCACCAGGTACACTGATGTGATCCATCCACCATTTGGGAAAATCATTAAGTTCCTCTTTAAATATTACTGTGGAAACCAGATCCTTTTCAACAAACAACTTAGGGAGCTTTGCCTTACTCAAATTAGGACATGCTGTATAACAATGAACAACCACATCTTTGTTAATGCCTTTTATCAGATCAAGAGTCCTCAGTCTCTGCTCAAAAGAATTATGTAAGATTGTTGTCAAAGCACTAAGCTGGTCAGCTGCTACGTCGAGATGATCTTCAACAGTTATATTCTTGACTTCTATGATTGTTATATAATTGCTTCCAATTATTAAAAAATCACACTCCTCCTCCGGCTCCTTATTCCTTATTCTACAAATTTCACCAATTTTCTTCTTTGATTTATGGTTATCAACAAATATCTGGTAATCTCCATGATTGTATACCATACCATGAATCACGATGACGTTGTCATCCAACCTTTCCAATACCCTGTACACTGTTACTTCAGCAGTGTAGTCCTCTTGCCTATGTTTGCTTCTCTTATTGCTATCGCTCAAATCTGTTCCCTCTGGATACTTGTCAATGTAAGGTGATGAGGGAGCTGGTGGGATCATTAGTGGACGCCCACATTTAAAGTCTAACTCTAGACTTTGATACACTTCCTTACCTTCCTTTTCTAACTGATCAATCCTTTTCTCTCCTGAAATAGAGGAAGCATATTACCAATGTGTTATTTATGAAATATATCTATATCTTAATTTGAAGTTTCTTTCTGTATGTACAGCAGCCCCCATGCAAATTAGAAAGTTACATAGTTACACAGTGGAAACACATATATATGTACAACAACAACAACATGCATGCACAGTACATTATCCAACATTTTCACAGGATTGTGATATCAGTTTTGTTTTTACGACGTTGTGTTCAATGCAAGCTACATTTTGATGGGCTGTGTCTTCGGTTGTGATGGATATTTTTGGATGTGATACAAAATTATTATTTAAGAATGCTATTGGCTTCCTCCCTGTGAAATAGGGCTCAACAAACAAAATGTGAGCCAAAAACTCTGATTAACTGCAAACCCTGATTTACCATAACTTCTCCAACTCTTCTCTCTGCAAGTTTTGTAATCTGTAAGGTCTCTAGTCTTTCACGTCAAGGAAATGTTCAAATACAATCAACAAGGCATGTGAACCATTTCTGGCCATTTTCCAGTTTGACGGTAGTAGCCCAATTCCCATGACAAGCAGGTGGAGACCACAACTATAAGAACTGAACACAATACTCTAAGTCGGGTCTTACTATAGTTTTATAAACATTTCTCATAACGTTAATTTCTCTTACAATGAGATTCCTTATAACCCATGCAATCATATAATCATAAAAAATTTAATTAGATATCCAGGCAACTCACCAGGCGTTTTTTTCCTTTTGCCAGAAGTTGAATTGCTCATTGTGCAGTGGGAATCAGAGGACAAAGTAAGTTACATTTTACTACATCAGGCTTCAGGAAATTCCATTTAACTTCATTTCTAAGAAGATTAGCTTTGAGGTTTCATAGATTTGTTAACATACATTATTTGTTAATACCGCTAAATAGGGAGAATTGTTATCAATAATACCAAGTCAAACTCTGTGGGATAAAGGGTTGTAATAAAATAGATTTATAACAAGGTTAGATAACTCTCTAGTTATAACTCTCAGATGTTCTTGGTCGATCAGTGATATGAGTGTGTATGATTATTACGCTGAGTGATCGATTTTGGGCGCTTTTTAACCATTTGTTGTAATGTTTTTAGATACTAAATATCTAAATTTATAAAATTTTTTATCGGAATGAATTAATTGATATTTAATAATTTATTCGGTAGGTTTATCTGGTATTGATATTGATTATATTGATATTGTTATTATTGAACGAAGCTAACTCTAGACATAGTTAATACTACTTCTTTTAAGAAAGGGACTTGGAGTATAAACGACCAAGTTTGCATAAATTTCTATCCACCCGTACCCAAGAACTCAGGAGGCAAAGGTGGGTGCGTAAACTTTTGGTCTGCACTCTCCGATCCTGTATCACCCTGGATTCTTCTCGACGTATCTTTGTAAAAGGTATATACCTTCTAGTCAATCTCTTGCTACTCCAAGTCCCCTAAGATATCTGATCTAAAGTTCGTGCTAGTTATATATATATGAAATATATTTTTGTCTGCTTTAATTGATACTAAATAAAATTGTTGTTTTCTTGAAATTGTTGTTTTCTTTAGTTTTTAGATGATTTATGTTATTTGCATGCTCATGTTATATAAAATATTCAAACAATATACACATAATATAGCAATGACCCTATATAAAAATTCTGTAAAAATGGTACAAATTTAAAAAACTGCTCATGTTATTCACATAACCATGTGTCTACGCGTACTGCGTGACGCGCTTGTTTCACAAGTAGAATATTATATTATTAATTTGCCGCCTTCGGCGGTCGCGCGCTACTGCAAGCGAGAGGGCTCTGGTTAGAGCAACTCATGTTATAATAGAGTTTGAAGCATTGTTGCGTTTTGGGGCTTTGTAATACTATGACTGCATTGCTTTGCATTTGAATTTCTGATGTTATTGATTTTCAGTGCTATGTAACCTGGCAGTAACGTTGAAAAGGACTTTGAGGGGGTCTGTAGTCCCCACCATAGTATGTTTGTGTTTCACTGATTTGTAAACTGAAGACGTAAATACAGTAGGTGAGGACATTATATTAGAATTTTTGGAATGTAATTATATTGCTTACAAATACAATTCAGTCACACTGTAGGCTCAATATTGTTAACAGTCATAATTTTGTGGGTCAAGTTTTTGTAGTTAAATCAGTAATGCATCATGTTTTAACTCCCAAACCATCTGATAAACCGAGTTTCGACCTCTTTGATTAATTAAAAAGAATTACTTTCAGTTACTGCCAAAACTTTCTTCTACAAATCCTCTACAATGATGCCGAACGCTTGAACTTGAAGATTGAGTTAATCTTCAAGATTTTGCTTCGATCAAAGAATTTAAGATGACAATTCCAGTTCATAATGTTACACTGTACACGGGATTTAGAAAGATAAACATTATATATTATAATCCGTTGTTTCAATATTGTGTTTTCTTTGTTAATCACTA